TAGTCTGATGGAGGCATATTAGTGTAAACTTGAAGACCTTTCCCCGTTAATAACGAACTAAACCTTATTGCCCATGTATCTTCTTTCCATCATTTACTAATAGAGAATCTTTCAAAACGCTCTATTTATGCATCTATGTCATCTTTTGACTCTTCAAATTCAGGCAATCTTGGCCTCAAACCGGTGTTCGGCTTCTTTTTCTAGACGCTCGGCCTCAAAACGCCGTCGCTCTTTCTCACGTTCAGATTCTTTTTTCTAGACGTTCGACTTCACGTTCAGCTTCTTTTGCTTTACGTTCGGCCTCAAATCGCCGTCTATCTTCTTCACGTCTAATATTTCTTTCTTCTCTTTCAAGATATTCTGATTCTTTCTTTTGAAAGAAATCACGTAAATCTACGAAACCCGTTAAGTTAGGTAAACGCTTATTACTCAACAAAATGGTGTACCTCTGTAGCACTGACAAGTGCTTACCAAAAACTATCTTTATATAACAATGCCCCCCCCCCTACCGGGCACCGACAATGAACTTGTATTAACAGTAACAACCAGGGCACCGATAATAATCTTCTTGTAGTTTTTAAGAACTATGTAAACTTTATGACAACAACCAACTGAGTACCGGCGACAATAACTATTCAACTACTACATACACTTTCATGAATAATCACCCACTGGACACCGGTAATAAACTTTTATCAATTACCGATGTCTAACTTCAACAAATTATAAGCTTTATCTTTATCATTGATATAAAATTATTAGCACAATGATTCAAACAATCACAGAAAATTTCTCCCCAAAACCACACAAAATCTATCACCGTATAAACAGTATTCAATAAAGGGTGCTCTCCTGCTAAAGTGCCATTAATTCTTCAGTTTGCATAAACTTTAAACACAATCCGTCACCGTTTTTCTACATACAAACATCTTTTTAAACAGTATTGTACAGAGAGTTTATTTTTATATAAAACTACCCGCAGGTTTATCGATTTTCGCCTAACAGCTTTTACACTGCTCTATTTTACCAACAGATCGATAATGATCTAAGGTTTTAAAAAAAAAATTATCAAAGCTTAACAAAAAAATTTTTGTCAGGAAAGATTCGAACTTAAAGAGATTATCCCAGACGAGCCCCCAAATTGTCAGGAGAATGACTGCCTTGATGTTATTTAATCAAAGGAAAGATTAAGAGATATATATTAGAACCAATTTATGGGGGCTGGGCAGCACCGCCTGACTTAAGATTGAAATGTGCTCAGTTGGAGAACTAGCATGTAATTGTTTAGTTAACACTATTTTTTTTTAGGTATTTTACCCTTTTCTATCTCAAATCCATAAATACATTTACACAACAAATTCCGATTATTATTTACAACCAGAACCAATAACTCTGATCATTATTTACACCCAAAACAAACACAAATCATTTATCAATCACTTATACGAAATATCTTTCACGTATACGTCTTTTATACGAAACAATACTAGGCACCTGGCGAGCCCAAGCTCTAAACAACTTATGATCAAACAAAACAATGAAATCACCACAAAATAAAGAACACAAAAATGACATTTTTTTACAACACTACGATATACTATAAACCACAAACATTTAACCAACAATATTAACTTCACAAAATCTAATCAGTATCAGAAAAGCAAACTAAAGCATCTTATATTCACATTCATCCTCAAAAACAAATCATCAACTAATATAATCTTGACCAGACAAACACGCAACCAATTTTAACCAAATATTTATTACCAAACAGATATAACTCAAAAACCAAAACAACTAATTACAACCAATAAACCCTGATCAATTAAGATCACCATAATAACATTCAACAAACTTCAAGAAATCAACAAAAATCTCTTCAAAACAACAAATTCTCTTCTCCACAAAAAATAAACGCTACACACTATCAGTGTGTCTCTCCTAAACTGATGTAAAATCTCTCTGAAAAGTCGCATATTTTCTGTTGTACCAATATGACATTGAATATGTATGTATACAGAGTTTAATATACGCACAGCGACTGGTTTAAACATGATATTTACACTCCATTTAAAACAACGTATCACTGTACGGTAATATTAACTCGTTGTTTCATCTACAACAATATATCACTGTAGGGAAATATTAACTCCTTGTAAGATACATATCTACATATAAACTGCATGATTATTCTGACAGATGTGTTCATTGTCTATCATTGAACCTTGAAGATCATGTGTGTTGTAATTTAGGTTGTTACCACACATAAGTGAAATTTTATATATTCTGAAACATCTAAGTATATGTATAATATGTACTGCAAATATGTATCCACATTATATGTAATCATTATATTATTGAAAAAATTGACTTAGACTTTATAGAAAATAAATTTTTAATAACCTCTCTTTATTAACATGACTTGTAAAGTCGGTTATATCTTTATAAATAATGCATTTTGGAACTTACAATATTGATGAAGCTTCATTTGAGCATTATATTTATGATATAAAGAGCATTATATTTATTAAATAAAACCATAAAAAATTGTGTTACAAGATCTTTAATTCCCACTTACGTGATATGATAATTCATAAATGTTACTTAAAAAAGCGGTGTTTGAAAATCTTATCTCATATGGACTTATCTAACACTCCACGCGCAACACTTCTTTATGTATTCCTGCGCGATATTGACGCCTCTTTAAAAAGCAATGAAACTTCATAACAACTAAATGCATTTTATCATGCAACTGCTTTGGTAACCGTCCGATAACACTTGCGTAATAATTATTAGTAACCTGATATCAAAAATTAGCCCCGCACATTTTAACGGAACTGCTTATATTCTCATTGTTATCAGCATGTGAATTCTATAATTTTTTCTCATATCCTTACAAGTCTTGAATCAAGATATGATATTTATCATTTCTAGTTCGTTTTCAATAACGAACAAATTAGGTAGCAAATATAGCTGAGCACAAATTTAATGGAGTTACGTCATTATTTATTATGAAAATGACATCATCGATTCCCACATCATATTATAAACATAAAAAACAGGCAAGAGAAAAAAAACTTGTAGCCTAGATGTTTGCTTTGATTCGCCAGATTATTAAATAGGTGAGCAAATCGTTTCGATAAGAAAATAAGGCACATGTTGATTTGTGTAACTTTGTTTGATTGCCGGTTTGAGTTGATTTGATATGAAATTATGGTGAACTTTTAATCTGATATATCAAGGACAACAAGTGCAGTAGATCTAAAGTTTATGTGATTCATGATAATTCTAGATCGATGTTTTAATAAAGGTAAGAATCGTATCTTTTTTCAATCTGTTGCATCTATTATCAAAGGAAATAATCTCAAATCGAACGAAAAAATAGCCGCTATTAACAAATTCTAAGATTCAGGGGCGGAGGAATTTGTTTTCAAGAATTATTTCTTTGAACAAAAAAATCCCTTTCTACAATATTCGCTATTTAAAAGTGAATTATTTAGTAATTTTGACAGTGTTTATGTGTTACATGATAAATAGAAAAACATGCTAGATCTACTGTCTTTTGATATAATTTTTTTCAGGTTCGGCTGATATAGGCAAGCCCCGCCCCTTTCTAGCCCATATCAGCCTCGCTGACAGTAGCATGTTATTCTCTATAAATTATGTCATATATGAGAGCTAGACTATTAGATAGACCATGGAGTTGAAATAAATAAGCTTCAATAAGTCAAACTCTACCTAGGTCCGACATTCTCCATATCAATGTTTTTTTTAAAACTGCCACATCTTAAAAATTCACGAAATTCTTCGTAAACACTGACATTTTGACACATTGCCTATTTAACATACATTTTTTTTAAACAAAAATAGATCTACTAACTTTGTTTATTGATGACAAATATCATTTGAATTTATTTTAATTGAATATTTTGTCAAAATATCTGAATTATTAGAACATTCTTTGGAAACGGTAAAATGCTTTTTGATAACCATTGAAGTTGAATTCTTTATAACAACTAAAATAATGACATTTTCCAAGTCTAACATTAATCTCTTTTATCACGATAAACATGCTTATTTATGACGAATCTCATTTGAATTGATTTTCTTCCGCTTAATCCCCGCCTCGCTTTCAAATAGTTTCATATCTTTACCTGTCCACTTCACCCATGTCAATATGCCTAGACGAAACCCTTTACGGACATTTGTTAAACTGGCTTCCATTTTGTTCAAGCATTTAAGTTAAAATGAATAAATAATAAGTGGTCTCAATATCAGTGCCAACATTTGATGGATTAATACTTGAAATATTGCACACGATAGGGGCATTGGTTTCAGTTTATGATTAGGACACTTTTACTGGGTTCTTGGGTTATGCCCTTAAAAATAATTGTTAACAAAAAACGTTTACTACCAAAATGTTTAAAGAACTATTTCATAATACTGAGATCAAAAAACAAACATAAAATATTCATATAACTTTATAATATATACAAAAATAAGACAATTTCATACAAATAAAACCCAAAAAATTTACACACAACCTTTTCTTTACAATTTGACATAGAAAAAGTACAATAATAATGATTGTATAAGGAATGTTTGACAATCTTAATAAAGTACAACAATGAAATTATAAAGATTTTTGGACATGGAAAATAATAATTAATAAAAACAGGACTCAATAATAATAGTGGATCCATTTTTGCTTTTCGTTTTATATTAAGAGGTCATATGATGCAAACGCCAGAAGTTCATTTTTACATTGTTTATAAAGCAAAAATAAATACTTTCATTGCTTTTATTTAATTACTTTTAAAGCAGTAGTTACAGGATTGGACAGAGACTGTCATAATTATTGTTTTTAAGGGGCAGTAATAAGTACCGCGAATAAAGCTATCAATGTGCGATGAGACGAGAGCCGGTTTATTTGTGTTTTTTTTTTTTTTTTTTTTTGAGTGACTTAGATTTTTATTATATTTGTTTTTTATTTAAGAGGAATGATTACATTCTGGACTAATAATCACCCATATGGAATGGGAAAAGGACCAATATATCTAAGCGACCTGGATTGTTCTGGCACGGAAACTCACATCAATAACTGTACATATACAACAAACCACTCGTGTAGCCATAATGATGACGCTTCCGTAGTTTGTAGTAAGAGAGTGTATTATTACTTGTTTTTGTAGATTTTCGATTGTTACAACTATTGGTTAACTTTTTGTTTAATTCATCAACTTTTAATACAGACAATGGCGTCTCAAAAATAAATAATTATAAAGATTTTAATAATTTACAAGAAAATAGTTAATTGCCTCGAAGTGCATTTCATATCTTTCTAACAGTATCAAATTGTATTTTCTATGTATTTTCAACACAACTTGTACAGTTTTAGGGTATGACCTAAATGTCACGGATATTCGACTACAGAATGGAACAGGGCAATATGACGGTCGTGTTGAAATAAAAGTGAATAACACGTGGGGAACTATTTGTAATAGATATTTCCAAAAGAGCGATGGTTCCGTACTCTGCAAGATGCTCAATCTAACGTAAATTTCGCTAAACTGTTTGATAAATTCAGCATTTTGAAGGAATATTGTTATTCAAACAGCAGCATATAGTTTAAATTAAAACAATCAACACAGTTATATGAAAATCTTAGTTACGGTATACAACACCAGATAGATGGTGACTATAATAAAACTTAAAAATATGTATGGCCTTTGCAATAGCTTTACATGTAAGACGATAGTAAATGTAATAGCATGTTCATAATCGTTTTTTTTTCTATTCAAAAGTAGCGAAATAGTTTTAATATATAGTTGCATTTTTTGATCATACGCAAGTATTAAAGTTTAACGAAATTTAGAAAAATGCTAATGGTTTGAGATGAAGGCAATGTATGCATTTATAACTAATACTGTCAAAACACAGAAAAACAACAACCAATTAAACAGTAAGCCATTACTGAATAAATCTGACACTTAACGTAAATGTGAATACATATCATTTGAGTCAAAACTATGAACCTGATCGTTTGTTTACGTCGTTATATTCGATCTTGTTTCACTTATAATAAGTTCTTTTTTTATTACAGGTACACGCACTACTTCACAACTCCTATATATGGCAGCAGTGCTGGTCCTATATACATTGACGAAATGTCCTGCTCCAGCAGTTATAACCATATAAATAACTGTTATTTTGATCCGGCTGACCGCGAATATTGTTCACACAATTTGGACCTATCATTAGTGTGCACAGGTACATTCTTTTAGGACAAAATATAATTTAATTTATTTTTTCATGTATATTTATAATTGTTTGAGCATATTTTAAACAATCAAATAGTGTTCCATATATGATTGACCGACCTATATACTTTTTCAGAATGTGGTGAACCTAATATAATAAACGCTGTTCTGTCTTCATTTAACGGTACGGTTGTAAGGGCAACTTGTTTTTCTGGTTACGTTCCACAATCAATAACCCTGCGTTGCTTAGAAAATGGAACATGGAAAGGGGACAATACCTGTAAATTACCATACGGTATGGAATATTTGCTCACGAAAGACGCTATATTTGCACCATTGAAATGGAGTATTTTTTAAGTTTTTGCTTTGCCTGATTTCTTAATGTCTTTATATTTGTTTTCGAAGGAACTGTTCAAATTTGACATCTGGTATGAGTGTGTTCTCTTTTTTTAAATATCCGGTAAGACATTTTCAACATTGTCTGCTCCTTTTTCCACGACCGTGTACAGGGCTTCGTACTTTACTCGTTTTCTATCTTAAATAAAAATGTGTATCCAATCACTAAAATGCGATCAATTTCATAAAATTTTATATTTTTGTTGAATTTGAATGCTCCGAGTACTAATTTTGATTATATCTCCATTACTTCAATTCCAGAATACCCACTTAATATAACGGACATACGTCTCATCGGTGGTTATGGACCATATGAAGGAACAATACAAGTTAAAGTCAATGACCAATGGGGTTACATATGCAATAGTGACTTTGATAATTCAGATGCAGAAGTAGTATGCAAGATGATAGGATATCAGTGAGTTAATTTTTTTCAATTTCTTATCATGATTTGCACAACAATTTCAATGACAGGCATTATAAAAACACTAATTCTAAATAAGGTCCCTCCTAAATGCATGCAACTTGTAACTTGCATTTTTTAATTAATTTCACTAATTTTTACTATTTTCAAAATTAAAATAGAAACCAGTTTTGTCGCTTAATTTTCTTTTATTTAGTGAAATTAATAAGAGGATTTTAATGATATTTGTAAAAATGTAAATAACTTTCTCGATTTCTGGGTCTTACACAGTTTGAAAACGATGCTGTGCAGTTTTATCTACAGTTTCATATATTGTTTTAATGATCTCGGAATCGCAATATATTTTATTTGAATTTGACAGGTTTTTACGCACAAGACCTCACTACAGCTCCAGAATAGTTCCAGAATATATCAGCCAACTACAATGTAACGGAACAGAGTCTCACATAAACGAATGTTCTTATGAAATACCATACATCTGTTCTGTTGGAAATTCTCTAAACTATGCTGGAGTAGAGTGTACAGGTAAATCAGTATACATGTTTTTACGAACAGGTTTTACATTAAGCTAATGAATGCCAAATTTTAAGTAAATTCAAAATTTCTGTTCTGAGACTGCTTTTAACACAAGAAATCGAAATATCCTACTTTACATTTTCTATTCATATTTTAGTAAGATAATTTTGAAAATATTCAAGCATTACAGTAGATATTTATGTTTTGCTATAAAAAAAATCCTTTATTTATTCGACAGGTAACCAATTGAACATCTCTGGAATACGACTGGCGGGAACTTCAGGACCTTATCATGGCCGTGTTGAAATAGAGGTTAATAACACATGGGGAACAATTTGTGATAATTACGTTTCTAGTACGGGAGCAAGTGTTTTGTGTCATATGTTTGGATTGGAGTAAGTTGCTATGACAAAGCATACTTTTATTTTTCTGTTTTCTTTTGTAGATGGAATAGTTAAATTTGTCCTCTATAGGAATGCATTTTGCAGCATTATTCTATGTTATTTTTGTTTTCTTGTAGATATTATACATATTATGGCGGTGCTCATTATGGGAAAGGTACTGGGCCAGTTTACATTGACAAATTACATTGCTCTAGCTCGTACTCGCATATAAATGATTGCAAGTATATAACGGAGCATACTTGCCAGCACAGCGACGATGTATCTTTGATGTGCTACGGTAATTATGTTTATGAAAAATATTTGAAATATAATATTGATATGGACATTTCACTGAAATTATCATACATTTAAAGTTTTAAAAATAAAGTGCACATTTATCTGCATTTCTTTTAATCTCAATCCATAAATAGTAAATAGAATGCAATATTTGATATTGTTATTTTAGAATTTTTAAAGTTTAACCCGATAAATAATGAACATTCATTTAATTCGACTGTAAAACTTTTGGTAAGTCAGTAAAGTGTAAGACTATTTGGAGTTGTTGTTTTAAGTGTTATTATATCAAATATCAATTACATATATTCATGTCTAAATTCAGGGCCAAAACTAAATATAACCGACGCGCGTCTAGCCAATGGCACAGGACCTTTTGATGGACGAGCTGAAATCAAGGTCAATGATACATGGGGTACTATTTGTGACAACAACTTTAACATAAACGATGCGAATACATTTTGCAACATGCTTGGATTGAAGTAATGTATTTTCTTACACTGTAAAAGTAATTATTGGCATTAGGTTATTAGCAAATAGTGCTTTCTTCTGAAGTTTAGCTCTTGGTAATATTTCGAACGACTTGGCTAGGCAATTTGAATTTAAATACGCATATCGTAAATGATGAAAACCCGTGGATTATAAATGAGAATTGTTGTTATAATAGTAATAAATAATATTAATAATAATATATTATATATTTGACTTTGACAAGGATGATATCGTTCCCGAGAAATAGGACAGTGGCCAAGGTCTGAATAATAAACTGCTACATTTGAATATTGGACATGATATTACAAATTCTGATTTTGACGTAAAGTTTCATGCTATGAAATTAGGTGTGTGGAATATTTCTGGTTTATCATCAAAATTGACTGGAAGAAACGATATTTGTGATTCAACAGATTTTGTTGATTATATTAAGTCATTTAGCATTATTGGTTTTGTAGAAACTTGGGCTAAGAATTATGTTGAGTTTTCATTAACTGGGTATACATGTTTTGATGTTATTAGACCATTAACTAAAACTGGAAAACGAAATTCATGTGGAATATCTGTTTTTGTAAAAAATATTATATTACAGTATGCAGAAATAAGACAACTAAGATCTTCTAGTCACAATATTTTATGGCTACTTGTTAAATCTAAAGTTAATATTTTTCATAATATGCTATTAGGTTTTGTTTATATTTCTCCAGAAAATTCGTCCATACATTCGAATGAGGCATTGTTTGATATCATCGAAAACGAGCTTACTATTGTCAAAAGTGACTATCCGGGTCATTCCATTTTTGTTTTAGGTGACTTTAATGCATATACATCCACAAACCCGATTATATTGCTATGGATGGTGAATTTCCATTGTTAAGTGATACTTTTTATATTGAAGATACTATTCCGCCACCTAGAGCTAATTCTGATGGTAAATCTATAAATTATTACGGCCAAAAATTGTTTCAGCTTTGTATTGCTACTTGGCTTCGTATATGTAATGGCAGAATCGGTAACGATGCTGGCAAAGGTTGTTGTACATGTTATACTGATAATTCTCCTAGTCTTATTGATTATATTTTGTCTGATATGTCATTATCTGATTATGTCTTAGATTTTGATGTTGAAAACCGAATTGAATCAATACACATGCCCGTTTACATTAAAATTAAGAGCTCATCACAATTAGAAGATAATCTTTCTGAACAAGTATTTAGTAATGTATCTGAAAATCTATATACTAAACTGAAATGGGATGAAAATAATAAACAACAATACATTGAAAAGTTTATTATAGGTATTGACTCTATGTATGACTATTTTAATACTGCTTTAGATAAAAATGATATACATCTAGCTATACAGAGACTAACAGATTGCTTTTACAATGCTGGATCAAACATAAATAGAAATAATGGTGTTAATAATCTTAATACAAATCAGAAATGTCAAAAATGGTATAATTCTACTTGTAAACGACTTCGTACCAATGTTCTTCAGAGGTTAAGAGAATTTCGTAGATCACGCACTGATAACGCTTTAAACAACTACAAATTAGCTAAATCCGAATATCGAGAAACATGTCGTAAGTGTAAGCTAAGATATGACGCTAATGAACGATCAAAACTTGTCGCTGCTGCCAATTGTAATAACCCGAAATATTTTTGGAATTATGTAAAGACAAACACAGGGCTTCATCGTGTTAATATAACAACTGAGGAGTCGTATAATTATTTTTATAGTTTATTTAATCCCGTTGTTAACGGTGCGTTTGATGATACCACAAACGACAGTGTAATATTTAATGATATTCTTGATTCCGCAATCTCTCCCTCTGAGGTCAGCTGGGCAATAGGTCAACTCAAATTAGGCAAATCAGCTGGTATTGATGGCATTACAGCAGCTGAGTTTATTAAAGCAGCCTCTGACAGACTTATCCCGATTTTATGTTTGTTATATAATAAGCTATACGATAATGGTGAATTTCCCAACAATTGGTCAATCTCACTGATCACACCTGTACTTTAAAAGGGTAACCAAAACGATCCAAGTAATTATCGTGGAATTAGCTTACTACCTGTACTGAGTAAAATATTTACATCTATTTTAAATAGAAGGCTTGAGAAATGGTGTGATGCAAACTCTGTATTAGGTGAAGAACAAGGTGGGTTTAGGAGTGGTTATAACACTATAGATAATATATTTTGCCTGTGCATTTTTATAACCAAGTATCTACAAAAACCTCAAGGCAGTTTTTATATTTTATTCGTTAATTTTGAAAAAGCATTTGACCGAATTAATAGACAGGCTCTATACAATAAACTATGCTCAAATAATGTTAGTTCAAAGTTTTTAAAAATGATCAAATCGTTATAACATGATAATAAAGCAAGAGTTAAATCCCCATCTGGACTAACAGAAAGTTTTGAATGCCCGTTTGGTGTCAGGCAGGGGTGTACGTTATCTCCATTACTATTTTCTCTATTCTTAAATGACCTTAATAATTATGTTGGTGATGGTTGCCATGGTGTCTCATTAGAACTTAAACAAATATTCCCTTTACTTTACGCGGACGATTTAGTTCTAATTGCCGAAACAAAAATAGAGCTTCAGAGAATGATTAATCGGTTAAAGTCGTACTGTGATAATTGGAATCTAAAAATTAATCTTGATAAAACAAAGGTCATTGTCTTTAGGAATGGTGGTTACCTGCGTGCTTATGAAAAATGGTTCTATGGCGTAGAAAATATACAAGTAACGTCTTACTATAAATATTTAGGAATAGTGTTTTCATCTAGATTATCATGGTATATGTGTCAAAAAACATTATCTGAACAAGCAAATAAAGCTATTTTTCACTTAAAACTAATTTATACAGATTCAGACAACTTCCTGTATCTCTATTGTTCAATCTTTTTGACTAAAAAATACAGCCTATATTGACATATGGCGCTGAAATTTGGTTTTCTTATAAAGCTAAAGATATTGACATCGTACATCACAAGTTTTGTAAATATGCATTGAAATTAAACTGGTCAACTCCTAATAAGTATGTATATGGGGAGTTGGGCCGTTTTTCACTATATTGTAACAGAGTTCTTAAAGCCATCAAATACTGGTTTAGGATTCTAAAAATGAATGAAAATAGATTACCTTTACTATGCTATAAAGTCCAATACCGATGGGCAGAAAATAACATTGATTGCTGGGCATTTCAAATTAGGTGTGTTCTTTTCATGAATGGATTTGGTCATGTATGGATTAACCAGGGAGTAGAAAATAATGACTTGTTCTGTCGCGAATTATCTCAAAGATTGCGCGATATTGATGTTCAAACATGGCGGGAGGCTCTTGATTCATCTAGCAGACTGTTGTTTTATAAAAGTATTAAAATTGACGTTATAAGAGGATCGTACCTAGATCAAATTGAAAATTCATATTACAGGTCGCTCATTGTAAAATTAAGAGGCGGTTTACTGCCCTTGGGTTATAACACTGGATTCTTTAATAATATACCAATTGATCAAAGGATATGTCCTCTCTGTTTTACGGGCTTAGACGACGAATATCACATTCTTTTGATTTGTATTCACTTTAATTGTATACGTAAAAACATTCTACCAGATATACTGGTGAAAAATCCTTCACGTGAAAAATTTATATCTGTTCTAAGAAACGCAGATGTGACATTATATAAAACTATCGCACGTTTTCTCGATCGTGCACTTAAATATAGACGCCAATTCAGTACATAAAAAAATACATACATAAAACATTATAAAGGTTATTATATAGTGTATTCTACAAATGATCTACGAAATTCTCTTAATATCTTTATATATCTATAAAACAAAATTTATATGATGTCTACCAATGTTTATATTACAATATACTATGTATATCTATGATCATCTCATTGTATTTTACCATTGCTATTTCATGTTTGTTGTATTATGTTGTATTTTGGGCCGGAGGCCTATGTTACATAAATAAACTTTACTTACTTTACTTACAAATAATAATAAAACTACAATAATAATAATTTTCACAACATATGAGCTTTTATACATAATACAACAAAAAAATGCATATTTTAGAGTTATGAAAAAACAATTTGATCAAGAGGAATAGAAATTGAACGAACACTTACTTAACATTTCAGAGGTGCACAATATTTCACCGGTGCAACACATGGTCAAGGAACAGGTCCAGTGTATGTTGATGAATTCTTTTGTGGAACTTACGATACCGATCTGAGTAACTGTAAATATTTGTTTCGAAACTCCTGCAAGCATGACAGAGACGTGTCTGTGATGTGTAATGGTATGTGCTCATGTTACTTGAAGACGTTTATTGCGGATGTTTGATAGTAAATTCTTTTTTTTTAAATGTTGCTATGGCATTTTAATTTGTTTGCAAACAAAACAAGACCTATTAATCTCAAACATTACTTTCAAGTGCCGTCGTGTCAAACAACATCAATGTAGTCCCTTTAAATAAGATAAAACACACAAGACAACCAATAAAAAAAATCATCAAAACAACGTTCCTTACATATAAAAAATTGGGGTAGCTAAAACATATATTCACTACTGTAGATCTAGTAAAAGAATATGCTTTATAAGAACATTTTATGATAGATATTCATGTTTATTTCTTTGTCCAATTATGGTTATATTCTGCAGTTGAGATGACAAATATGTATCACCGTAAATATCTGTTCAAATTGTCTTCTAGTGATCAAAAAGAAATGATACATTCATCTGCAATAACTAATTAAACACCGACATCAGTTAGTGTCTTAATATTGTAGCGAATTTATTTATGTACGAATGCGCGTGTATAGTAATACAAGAATTACGTCTCTTTAATATAAAACGCCATTTGCATCTACATTTTTAGACAATTATTACTTCTTTTTGTAAGTAAGTTATAGTTAAATGTTTTTAGCGTCATATTTGTTTATAACTATGTTATATCTGTCGGAAAGAATCTATTAGTATGCTAAATTTATAAAGGCAAGTTTAATTTCAATATATCGTTACGTTTAGAGATTATCTTGTACTTTGGGAAGGAGATTATTTAGAACAAGGGGAAGTAATCCAGTAGATGGCTTATCCATATATAAGCAGGAGAAGACGCATTTGAAATCACTTTTCGGATTGGAAAGCGAAGGTAACACTTCAAGCTATCCAGGAAGATAAACCGTGGGCATCGAAGTCCTATAAGTAAATCCCTTAAAAGCTCGGCTTCTTTGGGAATACAAAAGTAGGATATAATTGCTCTAGCTGCTGAACGTCGACTATAGAGATCGTCCTATTTATCATAGAAGCTCAGCTTCTTTGATATTGGATGAACAACAGCTGTATATATTATTTTGGTGAGGTAAACGATCACCAATCGATATAGAAGCCCAGCTTCTATATTGATGTTGGATTACTATAAGCTGTAAATATTGTGTGATTTTCATCAATTGTTTTTATTATATAGTTATTATATAGTTTGTTTTGGTTCTTTATTATATAGTTTGTTCACCATATAATCAGTAATCATTACTTTGTCCAATCAATCAATGGTAAGGTAACCATAAGAAAAATTATATGTATATGATAAACTGTAAATAAGTAGTTGAACGTTAAATTGTCTTATAATCAAAAGCCCGCTCGGAGATACGTTACAGATTTGGTGGCAGCGGTGGGATAGTTGATAGAATAATTTCTGTCACTTACTCACAACATTTAATATGGCATATGCTCAAGCACCAGAGTTCCAAGAATTACAAGAGAAGCTGTCTGACTTACAGCGAGAAAATGAAAGACTCAGAGTTGAACGAGAAATATGCGAGCTGGAGATGCAGATATCTCGACTTCATCAGAGTTCAACACCTATTAGGAGAAAATATGTCTGTAATAACGAAACACAGACATATGACGATAAACCTGTTAGACGTAGGTTATTGCCAAGGACACCTGATTGTTCTACAGTGATGAAAAATCAAAATGATATGGCAAGTAGACAATATTCATTAGATGAGGATGGTAATATTCTCGATCCAGAAAGGTTTATTACAAGACGAAACAAGAAAAAGATGCAAGAAATAACTGATAGCAGTAAGGTGAAAACACATCATAAGAATTTAGTTACACCAGCAACATATGATGGTTCAAGTTCATGGGCCGATTATCATGCTCATTTTGAAACCTGTGCCAAGATAAATGAATGGAGCTACGCTGATAAAGGTCTTTATCTTGCAGTTTCATTAAGAGGCCAGGCACAAGGTGTATATGGAAATCTATCGAAAGCATCACATAACTATGATGACTTAGTCACTGCTTTAGTAGAAAGGTAGAACATGTTACTAAAGAAATCTGAACAGGCAAAGCCAAATCATGAATATCAAAACTATAAAATGCAGCATGATAGTTCTAATTTCAACCGGCATCGTATTTCAACGACACCTGGGGGACAGCATGGAGATTCATATAAAAGCAGATCAACAAATAATCAAGATAATAGTAAAAGACATTGTTTTGAATGTGGATCCGAAACACATTTGAAATACGAGTGTCCGAAACAAAATTTTAGAACCAAGATCTACAGTCAAAACAAACATAATGTTAACATCACAAATAAACAAGAGTCAGGTCTCTTCATAAAAGCACTCATTAATGGTACACCAGCAAATTGTCTTATCGATACTGGGGCTACCTTATCCATACTTTCTGTCAATATTTGGGAACGTATGCATATGAAAAACATTCTCGAAAATTATTATGGCAGTATTCTTTCTGCATCTGGCAAAGAATTAGATGTCAAAGGAAAGACACGAGTTTCCATAGAAGTCAACAGCATTAAATGTTGTATGGACGTAATTGTAGCAAATATAGTAGAGGGGGAAAAATTCCCCCTTTTCCTTGGGCTTGATTTTTTTTGGAAATGGGAACTGGTTAACATGTGTTTTTTAAATTTGTCCCGGGAAAATATTGGTTTTTGGGGTCGTTGTGGCACAAAATACTGTAATACCAGCAAGATTTGAAGTAGTAATATCAGGGAAAGTCAATGACATTGATCTCATACATAACTCTAAGCAATTATTCATGGTTGAACCCTCTCATACTCACAAAAGTGAAAAAGGTATTGTAGCCAAAGCTTTGTTATATGCACAAGAAAACATTCCGGTAAGAATAATGAATGTTTCAGATGATTCACAGGTACTTTATGCAGGTACAAATATAGCAAACATTTGTCCTGTTACCAATGTCAATAAAGTTGAGTCAAAGACATGTTCAGTTAATGATATTCCATCTTATTTACTAGATCTGTATCATAGAAGAGTAACTGGCATGTCGCCTAAACAAAGTGATGATGTTGCTCGACTGCTTTTAAAATATTCAACAATTTTCTCAGAGAATGATACTGATATAGGTCGAACTGGAATAATTAAACATAATATACCTACAGGCGATGCTCATCCTATAAAACAAAGACTTCGTAGAGCACCTGTTCATATGAATGTAGAAATTGATCAACAAATCAATGATATGCTTGATAAAGGCATAATAGAAGAATCCTCTAGTCCATGGGCAAGTGGCATTGTGATGGTGCAAAAACGTGACGGAAGCAAACGTTTTTGCATAGATTACAGAAAGCTAAATGACGTGACAATAAAAGACGCATACCCTTTACCACGGATAGACGATACTTTAGTTCAACTGTCTGGAGCTAAATGGTTTTCATGTATGGACCTTAGCTCAGGTTACTGGCAAGTAGAGGTAGATGAAAAAGACAAAGAAAAGACTGCTTTCATTTCCAGACAAGGCCTTTTTCAGTTTCGGGTCATGCCATTTGGGCTTTGCAATGCTCCGGCGACATTTGAATGATTAATGGAGATAGTATAAGCAGGATTAAATTGGCAAATTTGTCTTATATATCTGGATGACATAATAGTCCATGGTCGAACATTTGAAGAAATGTTAACAAATCTTGATAAAGTATTTTCCAGATTGCAAAGTGCAGGTCTTAAACTTAAGCCTAAAAAATGTCATTTATTTGCACAAGAGGTTGAGTATCTTGGTCATGTGATATCGTCTGATGGTATAAGAACAGACCCGAAGAAAACACAAGCTATTATTGATTGGCCTTTACCGAAAAACACTACTGATGTTAGATCTTTCTTGGGACTATGCAGCTATTATCGAAAATTTATTTTTGAGTTCTCAGATATAGCAAAACCATTGCATCAACTTACAGAGAAAGGTAAACGGTTCATATGGAACAGAGACTGTGATCAAGCTTTCGCTACACTTAAAAAGAAGCTTGTCAATTCTCCAATTTTGAGTTATCCAGACTTTACAAAACCATTTATTCTGGATGTTGATGCAAGTGATATAGCAATTGGGGGAATCCTGTCACAAAAGATAGACAACACAGAAAGGGTAATAGCTTATGCTAGTAGAACTTTAACTAAGTCAGAGAAACGATATTGTACAACAAGAAAAGAATTATTAGCACTAGTACATTTTGTTAAATATTTCAAACACTATCTTTATGGGAAAAGATTCACCGTAAGAACTGATCATGGATCACTAAGATGGCTTATGCAATTCAAGAACCCTGAAGGTCAGGTAGCTGGTTGGCTAGAAGTATTGTCTGAGTTTCAAATGGATATTGTACATCGGCCAGGCAAAATGCACAAAAACGCAGATGGAATGAGTAGAAGGCGTGATGATGAACATACATCAGAGAGAACTGATAATGTTTTGCAGAATTTAAATTTTGTAGAAGTACCCAAGACCATATGTAAAGTCAAAACACAATCTGATGATGATGTACTCAACATAGAACAAATTCAAGAACAAGACTCTGACATTGTTAAAGTGAAAACATGGATAAAATGCGATAAAAAGCCTGATGCAAAAGAACTATTGAAGGAAAGTCCATTTGTCAAATCTTTGTTAGGTCAATGGCAAAGATTATCCATAAGAGAAAATATATTGGTTCGAAAATGGGATGTTTTAGGAACTGACATAGTGCAATGGCAATGTATAGTACCTCTAAGTTACAGACGGACAGTATTAATATACTGCCATGATATAAAGGCTTCTGGACATTTAGGCATTAAGAAAACATTGAGTAAGATTCGTCAGAAGTATTATTGGCCTGGGCTAAAAACAGATGTAAAACTTTACATTGGGGGATGTGAAAAATGTCAAAAACGTAAAGATCCAAATAGAATAAAAAGGGCACCAATGCATATTGTAAGATCAAGCTACCCTATGGAAAGAATCGCAATAGATATCTTGGGAGAATTACCAATATCGGATAGGGGTAATAAATATATTCTTGTTATCGGGGATTATTTCACCAAATGGACTGAATGTCATGCAATGCCGAATATGGAAGCAAAGACAATAGCAAAAATATTGATTGAAGAAGTTATCTCAAGATTTGGTATTCCCAACTACATACATTCAGACCAAGGCAGACAATTTGAAAGTCAGCTTTTCGCTGAAATGTGTGAACTTTTACAAATTAAAAAGACTAGAACTACCCCATACCATCCCCAATCCGATGGAATGGTGGAAAGATTCAATAGAACACTTGTTACTATGTTAAGTACATATGTAAATGATCATCATACAAATTGGGACGAAATGCTTCCCTATGTTATGATGGCATACAGATCATGTGAGCATGAAACTATCGGAATAACTCCAAACATGTGCATGTTAGGTAGAGAAACTACATGTCCGTTAGATATTATGTTTGAAATGCCCCCTAGTATTAAGCCTGTACCTACTAACCAGTATGCATGGGAGCTTAAAGATAAACTAGAAGCAGCCCATTCAATAGTTAGACAATATACAGGTAAGTCTATGAAAAAGACAAAAGAAGATTCACAATTCAAGGATATCATATGAAGTATTTGAGGTAGGTGATAAGGTTTATGTGTATTTTCCAGTAAAGAAAGTTGGGTGCATTTCAAAGCTTACGTCATACTGGAGAGGACCATATCAGGTAATAGAAAAACTCTCAGATGTTCTGTATAAAGTAGATTGTGGTAGATCACAGGTACCACAGGTTATTCATTGTGATAGAATGAGAAAAGCGGAAAATCAATCCTTAACTCATGAGATGGGTTTTGAAGACGTTAATGATAAAGATAATGATAATATTGTGGACAAAACTTTAGAAAATTCAGTAAAAGGTTCTGTTGAAGATGATAGTATTGAAGATGAGTTTGTGATTAGCAAACGAAATAGAAGAAAACCATTGTGGATGAAGGACTATGTCCTTTCTACTGTCAGAGAAGATAAGGAAAAGACAAAATGTGCTACTCAACGTCATGCATGTGAAACATGTGGTGTCACTTTTAAGAAAAAGGCTTATCTAAAACAGCATATTGTCAGAAAACATAAAACCAAAGAAGTAAATATGTAAAATGGTCATAAGGAGATAAGTTTGTTGTCCATGCGAGACGCATGAAATCGGAGGCGTGGGTAATGTGGCGAATTTATTTATGTACGAATGCGCGTGTATAGTAATACAAGAGTTACGTCTCTTTAATTTGAAAACGCCATTTGCATGACAACAATTATTACTTCTTTTGGTAAGTTAGATATAGTTAAATGTTTTTAGCGTCATATTTGTTTATAACTATGTTATATCTGTCGGAAAGAATCTATTAGTATGCTAAATTTATAAAGGTAAGTTTAATTTCAATATATCGTTACGTTTAGAGATTATCTTGTACTTTGGGAAGGAGATTATTTAGAACAAGGGGAAGTAATCCAGTAGATGGCGCTTCTCTTATCCATATATAAGCAGGAGAAGACGCATTTGAAATCACTTTTCGGATTGGAAAGCGAAGGTAACACTTCAAGCTATCCAGGAAGATAAACCGTGGGCATCGAAGTCCTATAAGTAAATCCCTTAAAAGCTCGGCTTCTTTGGGAATACAAAAGTAGGATATAATTGCTCTAGCTGCTGAACGTCGACTATAGAGATCGTCCTATTTATCATAGAAGCTCAGCTTCTTTGATATTGGATGAACAACAGCTGTATATATTATTTTGGTGAGGTAAACGATCACCAATCGATATAGAAGCCCAGCTTACTATAAGCTGTAAATATTGTGTGATTTTCATCAATTGTTTTTATTATATAGTTATTATATAGTTTGTTTTGGTTCTTTATTATATAGTTTGTTCACCATATAATCAGTAATCATTACTTTGTCCAATCAATCAATGGTAAGGTAACCATAAGAAAAAATATATGTATATGATAAACTGTAAATAAGTAGTTGAACGTTAAATTGTCTTATAATCAAAAGCCCGCTCGGAGATACGTTACAATATTAACAAGCATACTTTAAATCAAACAAATGAGTTCAAACGACAAAAGTTTGATTCCATGGTGTTTGCATCATCTAACAAAATATTTATTTGCACAGAGTTGTTTGTTTTTGTATCGTCATCAACTTCTTTGATATATTATTGTTCTTTAGAATGTTATGTTACAGTATCATGTCTTGGATTTATGGCATATGCTTAAGTAAAACATCTTCACCGACATGTGATTAATTAACAGAATGAGATATTATTGTATGACGTTTGTATAATACGAACTGTTTAGTTCAATGTGACGTATCAGTGGTAAAATATTTTTTTTCTTAATAGAGAGACAACAAATTGCTGCTTATTGATATTTGTTGATGACTAAGATGGTTGAAAAATTAGGTTTTCAAATTTTTGAACATCAAATAAGTGCTATTATAACGATGATTGACTTAAACTTGATAGTGTCACGTTTGTTAGAATAAAATAATATAACTGCCTTGAATATAAAACATTTGCCAATCTTCAGTCAAGTGAACGTTACAGATTAAAAGACATTTCCAAATATACTGTTAACAAAAACTCATTTCTATATCAAATACACTTTTAAAATCACAAACTCGTTTCTATATCAAATTCACATTATCGTAAACTTGTATTTGCGAGTATACAGTCATATAAACTATATAAATACACTGTATCATCACAAACTCGTTTCAATATCACACAGACTTATCACGGGCTAATTTCTATATCAAAAAGCCTTATCACGATCTCGTTTCTACATGTATATCGAATAAACTATCACAAAGTTGTCTCTATATCAAATAGACTTATTACAAACTTGTTTCTATATCAAATACAATATTATATAATACTATATTATAACGTTTTATAGAAATTCTCTAGTTCTTTATTCCCAATGATATACTTTATGAACAGCAACCGGCGTATTCTTTGAACCACAATAATTATGGCAAACATCATTATCTTTTATTACTGTTCGTAACACTATAAACTATATAAAATCATGAAAGTATCTAATAAAAGCAAAAATATTTGACTATACTATACATAATAGAGTATTTTATCAATTCTCTCAGGCAGTTATGTGTTGTATTATATTGTATTTCAATGGTATATCTTTTTTTCAAAATAAATCACTTGCCGGTAGTAAAAATGATTAAAAACCAAGGTGTAGGTTTCAAACAAATAATAATTTAGAACCTGTAATTTCAAATTCCCAATTTTAGATTCTCATACAATTTGTATTACTTTATTATGAAATATTTTTTTTGCAAAGCTAACAGTATTTTAATAGCCAAATTACACAAAATAGAGGCAAAATTAATTGATTATTGATCATTCATATGTGCATGACTTTTAGAATGTGGCCAGCCAGAGATAAACTACTGGGATGTTGGTTACTTCAGTTACAATGGAACAACACTTTATGCCGATTGCTCTTACTACAGGACATACATAGGAACGTTAAAAATGACATGTAATAATGTTACAAAGTCCTGGGTGACCGAGGGTGAATGCAAGGAATACAGTATGCATATTATTTATCATATACTTATATACAAGTAAATAGAATTTGTTACCGCCACTTATGCACTAGATGTTTTCATACCACTCGATGGAAATAAACTGTGTATTTATAGAAAAAACTTTAATATCCTCTCTATGATCATTGCTTTGTTAAGTAATATGTGCTAATAAAGATGAATATCATTAACTTACAGTAACGTAACTTTCAAAGCAAATACATGAAATACAATAATTTCAGTCAGGTTGTTGAAATTCACTCTCTTATGTACCGGATCAATAATTGAGCGTTTAAAGGCTTTGTAGACATTACTAGCAGAATTGAAAACTTCGGAAATATTTTGCAAACATATACCAAGAGAGCGGTATATCCAGAACATATACATTCACAAATGTTCTACTCTTGCTCTGTTACAGAGTTCCCTTTAGACATAAGTGATATTCGTTTAAAAGATGGGACTAAGCCGAGTAATGGTCGAGTTGAGATAAAGGTTATGGACACGTGGGGTACAGTTTGTGATAATTATTTCGGAAAAGAAGAAGCTGATACAGTTTGTCGAATGATTGGTTATGCGTAAGTGCTTTGTTTTCTTCATTATGATTGGGAAACATGAATTTTATTGAATATTTCGAAAATGACTGAGTGTTTCATTTAATTATATTATGAGATGACGGCGTCATACATTCAGCGTCTACAAAAGTCATTAAAGTACCAAGTCTTCATTGCGGTACACCTTTTAATTAATTTTCAAAGTAACGACATTTGAAACTTAACATATACAGTACAGAACCGAAAGCAAACATAAACCTTATGCCAACACATAGATAACCGTTTAGACAAAATACAATGTAAGTTGTGCGTGCTTTGGCTCTTCATGGTATATACTGCATAGTATAATAAAGTGTTTAAGCTAATCAAAATTCGAAAAATTTGTAAACATAACAATAATGATTCGGCCGTGGTAAACAACGTGCAAAACATATTAACTGGTGATGCTGAAGTATATAACAAATGATAAACAAGATCAACAAGGAAAGGCGGCGTTCAATGAACGCAACCCCAATATGACAAGCAACAAGAACCAGTGGCAAGGAGCCCAGGCGGACCCCACACAAAAACAGGACAGGACAAAGACAGAGCACAGACAGGTTAATCACTAAATGATAAATAATTTGTAACTGATTAGGAATTCAAAGAAAACAAGTAAATGATTGACTATTGGCCCACACAGTCAATGGGGAAAGAGACAGGAGACCGGGGGAAGGGGGGGGGGGTTAATCAAAAGAAATAAAAACTAGGGGTAATGGGGAAGATACTTACCGTAGACGAGAAAACAACAAGGGACCCAAGCAAAAGTGTCACCAAAAACAGTATGAAACAACATAGACATACATCTGAGGAACACAGAGGGGCGCCGCCTTAAAACGGTCAGCAGCATTATAATGACTATAAAATATAATAAAGTGTAAATAAATATAAACCATAAGACTTTGAACGCTGGACATGGAGGGGGACATATGAACATAGTATTCAATAGAAAAAGTAGTATAGTATATAGTAGTAGTGCAATAGCAGCATTATTGTATTTGCAGGCGCGCCTTCGAAGTTTATTCCAGTGCCTACTTTGGAGAGGGGAAAGGTCCAATTTTTGTTGACGACCTCAATTGTTTACCAACTGCAACACATTTGAACAACTGTTCATATGTTACATATGATGATTGCGATCATTCAAATGACGTTTCGGTTATTTGTACAGGTATTGCTTTTTCAAACTGAAGGATTGAAATATTATTAAAACATGATACTTATTAGATACATTTCCCGAAACTGCAAACACTTTTTAAGAATCTAAACCGTAATATAACAATGGCATTATTATGAAGCACCATCAGAAAATTAAAAAAAGTATCACCAAAGCTATGTTGCATTCCTCACAGAACAAATGTATGCAATATTTGAATATGATTCAGTTACGATTATGACTAGTCTTATGGATACCCTTCTAAACAAATACTTCAACATTTTAAAAAAGCAAAACCTCTCTGTTATCATTCCTATGAAACTCGTTTTCCTATCAATTATTATTTAAAATAAAAAATAACATATAGCTATGTAGCTTACAAAGTGTTACTCTAAATAAGTGTTTCCATTCAAAATGATTGAAATATGTATGAAAATAATACCTCATTCCATCCATTTTAAGCACTAGCTTGATCTTTTTGCTGCTGTGATTGCCAAAAAGAAAAATATCACCAATATCAAAGTCTGCTAAGGGTTTCTAAAAATATGTTGATTTGTTGTCACCAAAATTAAGTGCTAAGGGTTTCTAAAAATATGTTGATTGGTCGTTTAAAAAGTATAAAATATAAATTTATCGCTTAGTTATGGTTGTATTAGGCTTAGAAATTCCATAACACATATTTGTTATTATCATATAACATAATTTAGCCAATTTATACCTAATTATGTTGTGAAAAATTAATACTCTTTCTGTCTATAAGAATCTGAGAGATACAAAACTAATGTTTAACGGAAAGGAAGAAAGAGAAAAATGTGGCCCTACTCGGCTTCGAACTCTCAACGCAGTTCAGTAGTAGTACTATCCTAATTGAATACACTTCTAAATTGTAGCAATACATTAGATGTATGAAATCTTAAAACACTTTAACATAATTCTAATTTATGATAAAAATAATAAGACTGTGAACTGATATTACCCAATTTTTAAAACAGGTATATTTTGTATATTATTTGGTCTGGAATGTTTACGATTTTGCATAATGCTTTCAAAGTTGTAGTTAACTTTCAGACAAGATTATTTTGACAAGATTTTTGATTATGCAAAAGCTTTTTTAACAAGATTATTCGTCGTAAACATTCTGCTGTTCATATTTTCATATAGATATAGACTATTCTCTCTGTGAGCAACACACATTTAACCTATTGAATATTAGAGCAGATATTGCATAAGTTATGCAAATAAAGAAATAGTATATCAACATATACAGTATATATATAAACAGTGATTTTATCGCTCAATAACATCACTGTTTGGAGTTCGGGTGCGAGGAATTATATCACGAGGGCGTTGCCCGAGTGATATAATGATGCGCATCCGAACGACAAACAGTGATGTTATCCAGCGATAAAATCAGCGATTTGGATATATTATTGCGATTCTAACACGACATAAACAACAAAATGCTGCCGTACCTGCTATTAAGCAAAATTGCGCTTGGTTTGTTTCCGTACTAATTGTCAGCGCGTCGGATTTTATAGTGGTTACGTCACATGTATAATGATTACGTCACATGTCTAAATATAGAGCGTCAAACAGTGACTCTATTGCATAATAACACACACTTTCGGTTTTTTTATGTTCAAAGGGGAAAAATGCGGGTCTTGTTAGAATGCATAATAACACACACTTTCGGTTCTTCTCTGTTCAATGGGGGAAAATGCGGGTCGTGTTATAATATGTGTTATATGTATATGCTTTTAAGACTGCGGAGATCCCACACCAGCTAACGGACGGATAAATTCGTCAGAATCAGGCTACGGAGCTGTCGTTGAAGTGATCTGCAATGACGGATATTTGCTTCTTGGTGATGCAGTAATAACTTGTCAACTTACTAACAACTGGACTGATACATCATCTTGCAAGTTAATAGGTATTGTGAGCTTATGAAAACCTGATCTGATTGTCTTGATCTAGTGTCTTGCATCAAGTAAAGACAATGTAATAGAATATTTAAGACGTCAAAGGCATGCTATGTTGCTTGCACAAACCAATAAAGTTTTTGAACAGGCCTTTACAAATCGGATCTGCAAGATTTCTTAGCTTGCTGTTGAGCTATAAGGTATGTCGTATAATATATAAAGCATATTTAGATACCTTATTTATTGATTTGTAAATGAATTATTTTCAGATTGTCAAAACGCAGCTCCGCCAAATGGACAAAGTAACACTACTGAAACTGCGAATGGAACTGTAGCTAAGATCACGTGTGATACTGGTTATAACTTGTCGGGAAATGACATAATTACTTGCCAGTCAAATGAAACATGGACAGACTATCCGTCATGCAATATAGTTGGTAAATACTTAGAAAACAGCATTTTTTTCAAATTTCTCGACAAAATTTCATAACAATTATAACTTTATTTTGGAATAAGTGGACCTATTACAAATGTATTTTATAAAAAGATAATAAAGAAATAAGAATACACATGTATCGGCTTTTTCACATTTATTGATTGCAATTGCACTAATTTGTTAAGAAGAAAATACACTAAGAGAAATGTCCATTTAAGAAATTATGAAAGATACACAACATACATTTAAATTTATTAACTTTTGAATTTTTTATTATACTATTGTTCCAACTGTTGCAAATCTTTTTCATGTTTGCATTGTTTTATGTTTCAAGACTGTGGAATACCGTCGCCCGATAATGCGAATGTCACACTCTCAGAGAACAAAACAACGTACAGGGAGATAGCTGTCATCAGCTGTAATATAGGCTACAGACCAGACGGTAGCACGCCCGTGTCTTGCTTAGCAAATGGCACGTGGGAGTCATGGCCTTCGTGTAATATCATAGGTAAATGTTTCTTGGATCATGTCTTTCTATATTTACATAAAACCATTTATATCACTTTTGCCATGTTATATTATTAAAGAATATGCCTTAAGAAATGAATTTGCTGTATTCATTAACAATATTGTCTATAACAATTTAAAGAATAATATTCACTGTTCTTACTAAATTGTAAATTTTCAGATTGTGGTGATCCAACACCTAATAACGGTAATAGAAATTCCACCCACACAATATACGGCTCAGTAGTATCAGTAACATGCGATCATGGATTGAACATCAAAGGGAATTCTACAATTATATGTCAAGCTGACGGTACTTGGAGTGATAACCCAGTTTGTGACGCTTCTGGTAAGTATACATTGACAACTATAGTTATGTAAATGAATTTTGTCCTTGTTTTGATGGAATAAGGCAATAGTGTCCTTTTTCAACCTTCCATTTCCTGGCTTTTCAGGACAAATATCAACAAGGGAAGGCGACGTTCACAGACCCACGTGTGCGTCATTTGTTAAATTGATGTTGAAGGGTATCATTTAGATATTAGGAAGATAATTGTCTTTTGAATAACACTGCAAGAGCAGTGATAAAAATATTAAAGAATGTTATAATATTAAGTCTTAAGAATGACGACCGTTCTGAAAGGTAACCACTGCTGCAACCTTAGAAATAAGTGAAGGATAATGTTATGGGCTATAGTTGAATTGACGTACATAGGATGTACGATAGGGATTCAACAGAAAGAGAATTATTCGTTTTTGCAGATTTTGCAAAGTGAAAACTCTCCGACCGTTTTGTACCAATATATTCTGACTGAAAGATAGCAAAAGCATGATATTATGTCAACCTAAACTTTATAGATACATATCTTGTAACTACAGATTGAACGTGGGTTACTTTACACCCCAAAAGCAACAAAGCTTACTAAAAACATGCAAGTACAGTGAAAGTTGAGAAAACCAGACGGCTTTTGGACCGAGGGTTTTGTCCGGTTTTCTCAGCGGTCCGGTTTTCTCAATGTCTCCTTTAGAATCCTATGTACCGAACATTGACTTACAACGGATGCTGTATATTTGCATTTTCATGATCATATGTACGTAAATTGCTAAATAAATGATGAATTAAAAATTAAACATGTTTTATTTTTTGTCTCTTTATTGCATCTAAATACAATAAAAAATTTATTTGACACTAGCAGCAGTTACCTCATAATGATTCAGTCCTGTTATATCCGCACTTGTTTACATTTGGGTACAGGATAATGATTTAACGAACATAGTTTACTTTGTTTATTTTTAATAACGCCCCCTCCCACTGTAAATATTGCCGATGCCTTATTTAAGAGTCTTTGCAAAGTTTCACTGTCTGTTATTAATTCAACTTGGTCACTATCGTTGAATTCGTTTTGGCGATAGAATAGAACTTGGCGCCGATAAATGTCTTTTCCGTTGCGTTGATATTATGGGAAATGAATATACAAAAGCAACGCAGTATTAAAATACTCTATTTTTTATTTATATTTTAACGTACCAATTCCTCGTGCATTTTGGCATTATAGATATAAAACGGTAACATCTATGTCTTACAATAACTCAAACTGTGAAAACGGACATAATAAACAAATTAGACAATCAGTGTCCCATTACAGCTCAGTTAGCGTATTAGACACAACCAATTGACAAGTAAACAAGGTTATTCACACCTTCGCCGTCCGGTATTGTCAGGGTAATTATCTATATAATTGACTTCAAGGGTCCCTATCAACCGTCCGATATTCGGTTTTTACAGATTCCGGTATTGTCAATGTTTAATGCAATAGTTTAACAAAGGAAATATTTGGGACTGAATTAATCGTCCGGTATTTAGAGAGTTCCGTTTTTCTCAGCGTCCGGTTTTCTCAACATTCACTGTACCTGTTCATCTCGCTATTTTTTTCAAAACATCCAAAGGTAATTTTCTTACTTTCCAAGATGACATTTGAAAGAAGACGTGTTTAATATGTATATTATTCAGATCTTACATTTAGCTATGAGTTTTGAAAATAAATATCTTCAACTGGCCAATTGAAATATTTATTAAGTACTAGGGAACAAAACCATGATAGTTTAAATTTTTGAAAACTACTAGTATATTTCAAATGAACAAAATTAAAATAAATCAATCATTATAATTGCTTTGCATTGGTGACACTATTAACATTAACAGCCTGCTTTTATTGTGCAAATTTGAAGTATATGACGGAAGTCATTTGAAGGTTTGGATATATATATATGATTAAGAGTTTTTTTGTCGTCAGATTGTGGTTTATTGTCGGTTCCAAACGGCAAAGTTAATGCATCTTCTGGTACAACTATTGGATCATCGGCCTTTGTGACATGTAACGAAGGTTATAGATTAGAAGGGCCACCCATTGCTATCTGTGTGTTGGACGGGTGGAATAGTAGCGTCTCCTGTCAAAAGCAAGGTATGTCGTTGAATTATTTTAGATTATATCATAATCATTGTCTAAACAAATTGTTGTTTGAAAAGTTATATTATACAAATAATATCTATGTTACATTTTGTAACACATTTTTTTTAATACTCGATAGATTGTGGTGATCCAACACCAGAAAATGGAAAAAGAGTTGATAACGGTGGAACTGAATTTGGCAGTAGTGCAACTATTGAATGTAACACTGGGTATGAATTAATTGGGGACAACATTATTACGTGTGATGACGGGGGTGTATGGAGCGATAATCCGCAGTGTAAAATAAAAGGTAAACGAAGAAGGAAAGACATGTTTCACTACCTACACACTATTTGTTATTTTACGTTAAAAGTGGTTTATAAAGAGTGACAAACAGAAAAGATATATAAAAAATCACTCAATAAAATCAAGAATTTGGCTTTTAAAAATGTAAACCATAAATTATATAAATCGTAAAATGTTTTTGGCTTTTCCATCAATATGACTTCAGATCAACTGCTTATTTACTCATATCAGGTGTATGAACTTATATAAAAAACATCATTTAATTCTAAATAACCATGAATATTGAAAACTGATACTTGACACATTGATGTGTAGGCATTACAATATGAAAATATACGACTTAACTTGGGAGCAAACCTAAAGCTTGGAATAAAGTTCCAGAAACTCGAGAACTCCTTGTTTTGAATTGTAGGAAACCTTAGCAATTCTATTTTTCTCGATATTCATTGCACGCGATTTTAGCGAAAATTAGATATTTGCGACAAAAATCAACTGATATACGGTATTTTGTATTTTTTAAATGTGATATTTTCTCAACTTAAAAGAATAAACGTAATTTGAACTTCTTTTGATATGTTAAAGATTGTAAACAACCTGAAAATCTACCGGGAAATGGGAAATGGGATGATTCAGAAGGTACAAAGTACAATGCGACAATTAATTTTGTTTGCAATGACGGATTTCTTCTTGTTGGGAGGACATCGATTACCTGTAAAAGCGATGGGAAATGGAGCTCATCACCGCCTTTATGCGTAGAAAAATGTAATTTGTTTTGATTTAAACATAATGTTATAAACGTGTAGACTTTCAGTTAAGAATATTTTTAGGAACTCCGTAAATAAAATTATACAAAACTGATAAGTAGTTTCCAAGTTTTCAGAAAATTAATTTCTGTATACTTTTTAAGATAAATTTAGTTTAAATTAACAAAAACCATTTTCTATTAGATGATTACTCCTTTGTTTTGATGAACCCATTTGCATGTTGATATTAATAAGGCAGTAACACACTTTAACAAAAAGCTCATTACATGTTTAGTATTTCAAATGATTGTTCTGTTTTATAGCAAATATAGGCGGTACCTGCGTTACACCAGATTATTGTAATACCGGGAACGCCAAGTGTACCAATCATTTGTGTTCATGCGTGTCTGGAATCCATGATGAAAAGGCAAATAAATGTGATACAAGTAAGTTAAACAAAACATTGTTTTCGACATTGTTTCGGTAATTTCTTTCTTTCTTGCAGATTAAATACAACATCTCCTGTGTTTTTATGAACAATTTCTTTTCTTTAAATAAAATAAACAACAAGCCAAAAACGACGATCGGGAAACTTTTTTGTGTAAATCAATTTCAGCAAATTGATGCAAATTAAAACTATTTTGGAATAGACATTAAAGATACATTTCAATTGTATTGTTCTTTGCAGAAGTGATGATCACAATAAAACTTCTTAATAAAGTAATAACAGACTACTACTTTAGCTCAATTCTCGTATTCTTTTAGTGCCACTGATACCATATGGACTTAAACATAAAGATAAAGAAGTACCAAAAAGCAGCGTTTGTGGAGAGAAGATTTTGTTTTCTCCAGGCATTCCTATGTTTGATATAATGCATAAAGAGTTATATGTAAGTTTGTAAATCAAACAAAGATTATGTATATGTTTAATGAATTGTTTAGTCGACAACAAGTTGTAGCAGATGTATCAATGTTATTATTATTATTTTAAGACTGTTAGCCCTGAATAAATCCTTTCAAATTTGATTGCCTGTTGTTTTCTTCGTGTATGATTAATTATGATTAAAACCTGTATGTTCTTATTGTATCTAAAGAAAACATTAATAATTTATTGTAACATTACATTCAACGGAATAATTTGCCTTTATAAACAATTATTTTGTTTCAGGTATGTTCAAATGGTATTATAAGTTTTGATAGTAAATATACCAATCCAACACCTCCGAGGAACAGAGACAGTGTTTCTGAGTTTGCTAATAGAACACTTGTAGCACCATTCCATGCACCAATCAATTCATCATCGGGATCTGTTTTCTACCGCATCTATGACATTCAAAACAATTACAAAATGATGAAAGAAGATAGAGAGTCTCAGTCTAGTTTGGTTACATACCTAGAAGACATAGTGACAACATTTGGGGACATCGACAAGTTTGATGCCAGTTTTGTACTGCTAGCAACTTGGGACTCTATGAAGGCATCTAACAATGATTATGATAAAACACAGGTTTGTTGAATTTTGCTTATCGATTAAAATTTAAGATAATGAAGAATGGATTATATTCCGGAAAACTCCCAGTGTAGATCTACAAAAGAGAGATATGTTATAACGTAGCATTTTCCATTGTAACAGTTTAGTAATAAAAGCTCATTTTCCCGAAGACAGTATTAATTTTTAACAAGCATTATTTATAAAATAATACCATACTCCCGAGTTAAACTGACTTAAATCCTGCCGTCACAGAAAATATTATCAACTTGTTTGAACATTGAACAATAATAAAAAAGTCGAAACAAAATAGCTAAAAGTAACGAAAATTACCGAACCAAATTTAGAAAGTTCATGTCAATATTTATCTACATTTATTTTCAGGCCGTTACATTTCAAGCAGTACTTATTTCAGACGGTTCTGTAACATTTTCATTCTTCATTTACGGCCATGATTTCATGCAGTGGAGATATAAGGGAGCCCAGAACCCCACAATTTGGGTTGGATATGCGATAAATCAAACTAAACCATATACCCACCCATTTTCATTCTCAGACTCATCATTAGGGCTTGATACAGTAGAGCAGAGTTTGCCTTCGTCGTATAACGGTACTGTCATTATTATTTATGTCTTTAATGTCTTTAATATTGTATTTATTTATACCTTTATCTAAAATTGATTTATAACAAACCTCGACATTTATGCGTTATAAATAGATAATAGATAGTAAATGGCCTTTAAGCATTGAAATACCTTTAATAATGCATATAATAAAATGAGATGATAGATGCACATTAACGATAAATGATAATGATAACATTCTGCACCACTTTCAGTTTAGTATTTTGTAACTTATTCATTTATTTACTTAAGGAATCTATCCGTATGCTAAGAGGGTAACTTTTATTTTAATGTTTTTTTGTTTTTTAGGAGTATCTGGTCTGATATTCAAACCATTGTCAAGTGTGACTGACTCAAAACCAAACTATGATGTTGAATGTATCACATGGTACAATGCAAATCTAGAAGAGAAACAGAAAAATGACATCATAGCAAGTCGACTTCCTGATTGCCCTTGTGACATATGGTTATCAAGGACTGATCCTTGGTTTTGGAATATTAATCGATGGCTACAAACACCTTACACATGCGTCAATATGTTTCCTGGACAAATATATCAGCCGTATGGAAAGGTCAATATTGGAGTTTTGTTCAATCAAAAGTTTAATCAGTTGATATGGTATGATAAATTCTAAAAGCAGAGATGATGTTAAATAATAAATAACACAGTCCTTTGTCAGCTTTACATTAAATGATTAAAACATATTTTATGTAGTCACGATAATGCATTTGATCATGTATATAAAATCTATATCAATCCCATTATATATGTTTCATCTCAGTCATGCTGTTACGATCTTTCAACATGGCTTTGGACGGACAGACGACCGGTGGCTGGAAGCTTTTACCGATACCATCCAGATCATCAAGTGGATCATTATATAAATGACGTTCATCCAAGAAAAGTATGCTGTGAGCTTTCGAACAACTGCAATCTTTTCTACGATTTACGTCCAACTGGTGCATGCTACCGGCAATCACCATATAATTTTGGTGTGTAAAATGTTTTGTTTTTTTGTTTGGCATAAAAAGTAAATGTATACAAATGACAAGTGAAGAGAAAAACATATTTTTTTATGTTTCTTTTCTTTGGGGTGGGATTTTTTTTTAATATATTTGTTGTGTTTTTTTGTGTTTTTTTTTTACTTTTTTATTCATTTCTTTTTTGTTGTTGTTGATGCTATGATTTTTTAGTTTTAATTTTATACAAAATCATGTCAGAATATTAATAAATTATTTAGGAAAATATTTTTATATGCTTTTCTCAAATTATATTTTCATATTCACCTCAATATATCCACTGCTAACAATTTTGTTTTTATTTTTTATTTTTATTTATTATGCTCTCATTATTTTTAAAGGAATATTTTGGGGCGATCCACATTTCCAAACATTGGATGGTCTTAACTTTACATTTAATGGCCTGGGAGAATACACCCTTCTCAAAGTTCAAACAGAAAATATTTCCTTTGATCTCCAAGCAAGAACAGAGCGGGCAAGGAAACAAGACGGGTCGCTGTCTGACGCAACAGTTTTTAGTGCGTTTGCTGCAAAAGATTCGTCCAATGTCTCATTCCATGTGGAAATGAACAAGGCCAAAAATGGTAACTTCAATAAAACTTGTATGCAGCAAAATAAGATAACTACAAAAAAATAAAAATTGGTCTGAAAATGTGCAGACATTGGTAAATAAATGACAAATAAAAGACACATTCCGCAATTTCATTTTTAAGTATACAGAGTAGTTTTGGCGATTTAGATTATTCGTGCCATAGAAATTTAAAAACAAACACAAACATTCCTATTGTTTTGAATTGATAATAACACTATAATGTTTAAAGTTAACGTACATTGCCTCTTTAAAATTATCATGAATAAATAGTTAGTAATCATCATAGAGCTAGTTAAACTTGATTCATCGGATTAACAAAGCTAGTACTAACTATTGTTATTTATTTTAGGTCTTAATCTTTACGGAAACAAAATAGATTTGACTGATCAGTACAATTCCTATAATGGCAACGAAACACCTTTCTCATATACAACCGAAGAGATAAACATTATCATATCTAAAAGAGGCGAAACTCTAACTGCACTGTTTCCATTGAGTGGTAACTTGGTTCAGATATTCGTTTCATAACTTGATTTATACTCGTAAAAACTCTTTAGTTAATTATAACTTATGTATATTTTACATAATTATTACTTATTGGTTCTTCATTCAAAATAAGTATTTTGTTGCGATATTGTTACTTTCTTTTGTCTGATAATGCTTTATTGCAAAATCTAGGAGTGAAGTGTCATGAAATTATAAAAGATGCTAATGTCCCTTATTTTCTTAATTCCGTCTCAGCATTTACAAAAAACAAAAACTGGATTTTATTTTTTATATTGTTAGACAAAGATATGTTCAATTAGAAAAGTTGGAGTTTCAGATTCATCAATGTTGTAGGACGTACGTGGATTGCATTCGTATTATAAGTTCATCAAAAATGACTTATAATAATTGCTTCCTTTATTATAGTGAAAACGAAAAGCAAATGTTAGAGTTTGCATCACGAAACTTAAATTCTCACTATTTGTTGTTTCTTTTGTGTTATAGGTATATCGTTGAACATATCATTTAGTGCAGGAATGTTATCACTGAACACATTAGTTCCTGACACGTTACATAACGCAACAACCGGTCTACTTGGAAATTATGACGGATTATCCAGTAACGACTTCATGATGCCAAACAGAACTATTCTGTCGTCAAATATGTCAGACAGAGAAGTTTTTGCTTACGGAAAAACGTGTATGCATTTTAATCGTATACGAGATTTATTACCTTTCTTAATAATTTTAAATGCGGAGACATGTTTTATGTTTTAGGCCACACATTAATTTGATCTTGCTGTACTAATATAACAAAATATATACAAAACACAAAAAACGAACAACGTGCTCATTATTATTTCATTTATTCGATCTTTGAAACATTTGGAAAAAGGAAAAACAGTGTGAATTTGAGCATTTATCTATTTGATTGTTTTGGAAATGTCAGTTAATTTGCTTGACCTAAATTAAACTACTAATTAATTTTTAGGGGCAATTAACATGAATGATTCTGCATTTGTATATGAAGAAGGAACAACCCATCTTGATTATCATAATGACAGTTATGTTCCAAGATTCTTAGATGAAGTTGACGACGAAACAAAGAAAAATGCAGAGAAAGTTTGCAATGGATCACAAAACATTGAGTGTATATTTGACTTTGTTTTCACTGAGAAGACAGAAATAGCCGAGGAAGCTAATCGTATCAAGGGACAGGCTGATTCAACTCGTGCTGAACTAGGTAACATCATTTTACAGTTAGGGTGGCATTGCATGTTAAAAATGGACTCATCGATTTTATTTACTCCTTGAATTTACGAAAGGTATTGAAAAGTAACATATGATTATTATGTTAATTTTATATAGTTAGTGGGTTAACTGATACATTTTGTTTTATTATATCTTTAGTATGTTTTCTTTATCTTTTAGACGAAAAAGTTCCTTCTTTGGCAGGATGTCATACAGTCAATATAACAAAAGGAGATGAAGTAAATTGCCAAGTGACCTTAGATGACGAAACAGACCTTCACTTTATTGAAAACAACGTCAATGCTCGAATTGATCCAGAAACTTCTACTGTATCTTTCAAACAAATTGATGAAAACCCATCAGTAGTGCGGTATATTATCTCACATTTATTATGTCATTTAACGTTATATGCTTGTATAAAAAAGTTACAAGGAAAAGCATTTACACCTATAAACATTCTTTTTATATCAAGCATTGACCCTAAACGGAAATGTTTTATAATGTACAGCTTGTGAAGCTGACAGAGATGTTGCACTTTTTCATTATCTGTCGTGAACCCTTTTATCTAAACAAAGTATGTAGTTTTCATTTAGAGTTGTTGCTCTTTTAACATCTTCCAACATATAACCTTTGCTTACGTTACAGGCTTTAAACGCTTACACAAACATCTTCATTGTTAATGTTTTCTAATCAAAACTATGCAGTAAATAGTGCCAGGCAGAATGACAAAGACTCAAACAATTGTGATGAAAATATATATAACTTATTAAATTATAGTTTTATGCAATTTAGGAAGTCACAAAAATTTAATTTGAAAAGACACATATGTTTAATGCAGATGTAGTTTAGTGAAAGTATTTGACACTTGATTAAAATAATAACCTATCGTTGAAGGTTTTATGCCAAGAATGCAAAAGATAGATCTTCGACTTCATTCATTGTTAGTATCATATTATGCACCGGTTGTCATGGAAACGGCTACTGCACGGACGAAATACGTGAGGACACTCGAGAGACAGAATACTTCAAATATGCAACTTGTGTCTGCAATACAGGATATGAAGGTTAGATTATTTGTATCTCATAATGTATGACCATTTTTTATTGAATATAGATACAAGGTCATTGTGCTTTTTTATGTTGAAAGTATTCCTTGTCATTTCATATTAATTTTCATTTGCTTATATTAACATTTCATATCAAGTTACTATTCTAAAACATTTCTTGTTTGAACTTTTAAATATATTAGGGTGCTTTTGCTATTTTCAATTTAAATCAAAAGAACATAATGCATTTTTCTTTAAAAAAAATTGCAAAAATATGCTTATGCAATTAATTCTAAAATTGTCACAATACGATAAATTATGAATAATGTTTTAATATGATAAAATTTTAATAAAACCTCTCTTCTGACTATATCATTCTTTAGGATCGGATTGTGAGAGAGAATTTGATGCTTGTTCAGAAAATCCATGTTCATTAGGACGAAATTGTACAAGAATTCCACTTCTGAACCCGTTAAACAATGGTAAAGGTTATACGTGCGGCAAATGTCCACGTGGATATCATTCTCTCGCTGCCGACAATGACGAGTGTTTAGGTATGAAAACCATAGCACTAGTCCTAACTTTTGTAAATCTCAATGCACGTGTATATATACGTGTAACAAGATGGCACTTATGATGCCTTTTTTATATTTCATTTCTTAGGACTTTACGGAAAACATCTTCAAAAATATCTATTTTTGGGTAATATACATATGATGGGCTCAAAATAACGTAATAAACGGTCAGTTTTACAATAGTTATTACACTTAAATTTAAAACAACTAACTTACTTTTTATCTTACATCAAAGATTAAATGGTTTGTTGACAGGGGTATCGCACTATGAGTTTTTAACAGGATCAAGTACAGAGACACTTAAAGTAAATATCTTTTTGATTTGTTGTTTATAGATATCGATGAATGTAGCCATAGTGTATGTGAACATTTTTGCACAAATACTGACGGAAGTTACCAGTGCAGTTGTGAAGCAGGATTCAGGGTAGATAACAAAAACACCAGCAAATGCCGAGGTGAGCAACTATTTCACAACACATACATTGGGCAAAGATATTAGGAAAATTCAGATAATGATTTTGGCGTGAAATGTCATTTTGTTTCGATATAAAATGCTTATGATTTTATTTATACCTTAGCTTTGATGGAAAGTTTAAATCTGTTTTGTTGTTGTATTGTTTAATTTTGAAACGCTCATTACAAATTAGATTTGCCAAAGCATTACCTTAGTCAATTATTTAAGTTACGTTCATTTGAAATGTATGCAATTCTGTCATAACACCATTTTGACAAGATTTTAGCATTGGCTGATTCTTCATATATTTAATCAATCGCATTACTTTAAAACTGCAAAAGAAGTTAATAAGTATTAAATTATATCTTTTATATTTCAATCGCAGAACTATTAACTACGAGTGACACACATTTAAAGTAAGCGCAACGTCATTTTTTAACAAGGCGTCAAATAATTTTCGAGAGCCTCCCGTGCAACCTACCATGCACGTGCAATCAAAAGTCTTGTGGATTTATATATGTTATAATACTTTAAATGTTTAAAGCATTTAAAAGAACAATTTATTTTTAATTTTCCTTTCGTACATTTTTTTAAAATTTTCTTCTTTCGCGTCAGTCCGGAAATTTTTCAGTTTCTCGTACTACAAACAATTTGACTAAATGTTGATGAAAATATTCTATTTTAGTTTAGCAACTAATACGAATTCAAATCAAATGGTTGGTTTACGCATCATTATATATTATATGTCGTGGTTAAAAATTTTATTGAAGATAAATTAATTCAAAAAGTAAAGTAATCCGAACAGTATCAGCGCAATTATTTCCCCGTCGTTTCACTGTTTCCTAAAGTCTTGTGTTAATACTTTTTAGTGTTTGATATACATTTCAGACATAAACGAGTGTGACGAGGCCAGACACAACTGCTCACACATATGTAACAACACAAATGGAGGGTTTACCTGTCAATGCCATCCTGGTTATATTTTCAATACTTCTTCCTGGAGATGTGATGCCAGTCCCGGTATTGTTTTTGTTTTCGTATAAATTGTCATTAAATCTACTTCTGTGACTAAATAGTCTAATTTACAATATGGTTTTACATCCCATTTATTTTGCATGTTATTCTGCTTTACACTTTTGTTGAAATCTTGAGTTTCGCACTTTTTAATAAAATTTCTCATTTCTCATTTTAAAAGTGTCTATTTCAGTCATGTTTCATATAATTATTATATACATTATTATGAGAAGAATCTTTTAAGAAACGAACCTCTAGTGCGCTTTTTCACAACAAATTTAATCAAAAATATATTTAATCTGATTTTATATACTTGTTTGCAATACTCTAATAACATTACTTATCATGCTATATTAAAACGAACAAGTGTTTTTTTTAAAGTTCACGTTTCATTTTTTGATAACCTTATGTTACGAAACCAACCCTGTATTTAATTCTGTCTTGTTTGGAGACGACCTTAAATGCTTTCAGTCTGACAATGTCACAACAACGTTGGTTGTACCACATTTATTAAAGTTCATTTAGTATCATATTTTCTAGCTTTGTCAGCTTTTTTAATTTCTATGTGATATACAGCTTATTAAAACCTTTTAAATTGCACTGTGTTTCTGTTAAGGGTGTTACATTATTTACGTTTGGAGCAAACACCGCTTTCACTGATTTATTTACATCTGTGTATATTTCTGCCTTTTTATTTATTTATGTTTAGTTCTCTGAGTAAAAGGACATTGCAGCTAGCTGGTTTTTATAAAACATTTTAAATATCACTGTTTTATGCTACCTTTCAGATTTACATTTTGCCTATCCTTATGCATGCTCACATTGCATCACTACATCAAATTCACATTGTCGGTGTTTTTTTCTCTCTCTAAATAAATAAGATAGCAGGGATCTCATGTGAAGAAAGTGTGACCTGAATACTGAGTGTATCAAATGTATTATGGTGGCATTGTCAAATTAAAATCGTTATAAGTATGTTAACTACTTTTTATTTTATAAGATGAAAGTAAATCATGTAGTATAAAAGAAGTTGCCACTTGTAATCTAACTGCCGGATGTATTAAAGACAACAAAAGCGTTTCCAGTTGTTTCTGTGAGTCTGGTTTTGAGCTAGATAAAACAGGCAAGCTATGTAAAGGTAAATATTATACTTATGAAATACTTTCAAGTTTTTGTCTTTAATCCCTGATGCGATGCCAAGAACAATAAAATACTTGTATACTAAAGAGCTGTTTATACCGTATAAAACGGATGAGTAAAATAAATTAACAGGAATACAAGAACAAATCAAGTCCGACAATGCCAGTGGTAATACGCGTTTCGTTAGCGTTTTGGAAAGATAACAACATAAAAAGAATATAAGACGAACTTAACTTTTCATTGCTGGAAACACCAATTAGTTTTAGATTCTAGTATTTCTTCAAATATTTCAGAAATCAATAATTTTTTTCTTCTTTAGAAACGGAAAACATGAGATTTATTATGTTTTAAAAATGATTTTAGACCATGTTTTATGCTTATTATCTGATGTAGCACTGCTTGTGATATGATTTGGCAAAAGTATGTAAAAAAAGTAGTATCTTAACATCCAGAAAAAATACGAAATCGATTTAACGGTACTTTTTGCAAACAAAAGCAACACAGAAGGAACAATTGGTCCAGGTAATTAGCCACCGCAACTATCTCTTGACAACAAATGTAAGACACTTTTGAGAAATAAAAAGTACTTTTTTCTTTGACAATAGAGATAAAATTTATTTCTAAAATGACATGCCAATTTCAGAGTCTAACGCACTGTAACGGATAAGTTCTGTTTTTTGTTGTTGTTGTTTTTTTTTCATTTAATCACTTTTTTCCTAAGATATTGATGAATGCAAAAGAAGTGTCTGTCCACAAAATTGTTCGAATACAAATGGAAGTTTTGAATGCAAATGTTTCAATGGATACAAGTTACAAGGAAAAACAACATGTAAAAGTAAGTACACAGCTGATCAGATGCAGTTCTTTGTTGTTGGTTATTTGTTGTTAATGTATAACTTAAATGATAAGACAAACAGATTACCTGTACTACAGTTTGTGTAGTTCATAATGTATTAATTATAAAAGGTGATATTATCATTACCGAATCATTTAATCAAGATTGATGCTGTGCTAAAATAATAAGATGTGTTGTGTTTTGTTTTTTGTTTTGTTTGTTGTTGTTTTTGTTTGTTTGATTGTTTGTTTTTTGTGTTTGTTGATTGGTGGGTTTTTTATTAATTTTATAATATTTTTAATCATGACCATGATATATATATAAACAAGAAACAGAACATTATTATTAGTAGGCAAGATGTTTCGCTGATGATCATAACTTATCTTCCAATATGTTTTAATAAATATTTAGATTGTTTCATTCCTTTGTCAATATAGTGTTCTCATTTAAGATGATATAACATTATATTACATATTACAACATGTCAACAAATTTAGTTAATGCACATATCATCTGATGATTTCAAATTTGTCTTCTTTGCTAAATGTTGCAATGAAAGATATAAAAAAACATTTTGATAGGATGCGAGGTTCCTCACTGGGGTGAAAACTGTTCCAAGAAATGTGAGTGTACTGGTCAAGGTGCCGACCGATGTGATCCTGTTAAAGGTTGTATATGTTTACCTGGATGGACGGGTAAAAAGTGTAATAATGATATTGATGAATGCAGTGGCATTGTTGGTGATATCTGCAAAGACTCCCGTAAAGAATGTGTGAACAATCAAGGCTCATACAGTTGTAGATGTATAAAGGGATTTATTAAATCCTTCGACGGAACTTGTGAAGGTATGACTATTTTGTGAACTTGATTTAAGGCCTAATAAAGTATTTTAAACAGCTTAATTGTTTTAATGCATTTTGTTAAAGAAAAAAATTAGGTCGATATAAAGCAATTTTCTCAAACGTCATTTTATCTAAATGTCATTTTTTGTTAATATAAAATCGAAATTGTCACACAAAACACTAAATTTACTTTTATTTCAACAACAGATTTTGATGAATGCTTAAACCCAGTTACAAACAATTGCACACAATCATGTACAAATACCGTTGGTGGATATACGTGTGGTTGTCACAAAGGATTTTCGAAAATTAACAATACACATTGTAAAGGTAAACTGTTTTCAAGTTTTAATAGGCTTTGAGTGTCAAATCGGAAGCCCCAGTGACTATTGTGATTAGATAACATATTTGTATTTTAATATAACCGTCCTTGCCGTATTAAATTTGCAATGATGAATTATGTTAAAGAAACTCCACTGAGATTTTTTGACATGTCGGTACTGGACATTTTTTTCCAGTTGGTGTTGATGTAGACTTATAACTGATGTGCAAACTTTCAGATTATTTGCTCAATACGTTGTTTTGTTGTTGTTGTTTTTTCCTTTTTTTAGAGTAATTACTAAATTGTGAACTCAAATCGGGCTTAGAATATCACAAAACACAATTTCAGTGTATATATTGTACATGTATATCTTTTTTTGTTTAAGTCCCCCGGTATGTAAGAAATTCTGAGTATATATTTTAGCCTATTCTATGTATTAATCTTTGACGAGAAATTACAAACATAACAGATAAATGACACAGTTTTTATTAGACGTATTAGTTACTCTGTTGTAGGTAGACAAATTCTTTTAAAATACCATTGTCGATCAATGTTCTATAACAGTTTATTTTACATTGTTTCAGACATCGACGAATGCACTCTTGGAACAGCGGGATGTGAACAGTTTTGTGAAAATAGTCCCGGTCACTACAGCTGTTACTGTTACTATGGTTACACACTTAACGATGATAGAAAAACGTGCTTACAACGTAAAGTTTCTGTTTTAATATGTTTTGATTAATAACATTATTTAGTTAACAATCAATTAGTACTACTTCAATGTTTATTATCTTTCTGTAAATGAATTATCTTTATTGGTGCATCAGTTACTTTATTATCTTAATGTCTGCATGTAAGAAAGTTTAATTTTAAAGATGAAACAATATACAATAAAAAAGTTCTAAACTTTCATATTCGTACATGTATTTACCTTTTCAATTAGTTAATACAATCCATTACTGAATTGCTAGGCTTTTATAAATGTTGTTGTCGTGTATCTATAGTATTATTTTATGTTATTCATCAATTGATTTTTTGTGATTTTTGAGGGGTTTAATTTTTTAGTAAAAGATCCGTGTAAGACGTTAAATGGCCTTAATTGTTCTCATTATTGCCATGTGAAGGATGGTACATCTTCTTGCAAGTGCCGTACAGGCTACAAACTACTCCAAGACAAACAAACATGTACAGGTAATCTGTTCACTTAACCAAACAATTTATATGCATTACTTGTATTATGCTTGACTTTTATATATTTCATATTTATCTCTTGGTTATATAGTTAAAAAAACAATCTCTGGAGGTTTTTCGGGAGAATAGTTTTTATCCTGATAAAAATCATACCTTATGAGATATAACTTCAGTTAAGATATTTGTGAAACAATGTTTAATTCCTTTTTTAAGTTTGTTGAATAACTCGTATTAAACATTCTGAAAAGATATAAATAAACAAGTATAAGAACAATGAGAAAGTATGATTTTTTCTACTGAAAAACTTTGTACCCTGTCAATGTTGTATGTTTTGTCTTCATTATTTAGATATAAACGAATGTAGTGTAAATACCTTAAATGAATGTTCAATCGGTTCCACATGCAACAATACCAATGGATCATACGTCTGCCAGTGTCCTATCGGAACAAAACTTGAAAATGACGGACGTACTTGTTCAGGTGAGTTTAAAGTACTGTACCGTTAAGAAAAGTACAAAAGATATATCAAAAAACATTAAAATCTTCTAATTGATGGCAAGTCAAATAGAGTTGTTATATGAAAAAATTCAAGCTGTTTTGAATTCAAAATATATGTAAATTTGTTTCTATTGTTTACAAACAAACTGTTACCATTTGTAATTTGTAATATATTTTAAAATCTGATTAATTTTGCATTTCAGTAAATAATTAAGAGAAATGAAAGAAATATACTGTTTGGATAAGTGCTTCTTTATTAATGTTTAGTATGTATCTTAGACAATGTTTAAGAACTGAACAATAATTTAGTTACATAATAAGCATATTCATGCCAATGCTACGTTCTGTTTGACTATCAATGGTCCTTTTTGTCATTATATTTTAAGTATGTGATGAGTTTCATTTTGGAGCTGGATGTTCAAAGAGTTGTAGTTGTCTACATGGTCATTGCGACAAGACAAAAGGTATGTTATCAGAATTATGTCAGCAGCAGGGTCCTTTATTACAGCTGTTTAATCTTAATTTATGACTCTACTTTACACTCCGTTTTTACTTGTTCAACAAGATCATTGATTCCATTACATAGCGTGTTAAAGATAACATATTTCATACACCAATATCAGGGGTGTTAAATATTTCACATATTTTCTTATCGCTCTTTTCTTGACAAATTACTATGCTGTAAAATGATATAATGGAACAAACAAAGGGAGATAATCCCTACGCTATAATTATGTACATGTAGGCGCATATACTGCTATGTTAGTAAAATTGATTGTTGTGAAATGTAGTAAACGATGTAAATAAAGAAATATAAGCCAACTTGCAAAAGATTTTAACAGCTTTTGGTACCTTTATCGTCTAAGCATGATGCTAATGAAATGTTTTGTTGTACTTTATAATAGAATGTCATAAATATAGAATTAAAGCAGGACGCTTATCGAGTTTATGTCAATTTATCGCCAACACTCTATTCGATATTTGTTTGTTCCTTTATATTATTTTGCAAAGACATCAACTGATTAGAGCTAAATAGAAGCTTTGGAAAGTATATCGGTATGAGAGAGAGTTTCATATTAGCTAAATCACGAATGCAATTAACACATTGTAAGTTTGTCTATAAATATTGGAGAAGATATAAATATTGTTGAAATCAAAGAAATTAAATTGCAAAATTGCAAAATTATCATGATTTCATGATAACCATTATTATTATTATTATTATTATTATTGTTATCATTATTATTATTTTATTTTTATTATGATGATTATTATCATTATTATTATCATTATTAAAATTATTATTAAATGGTAGATCTGCAAAGGTCGCATATTGAGGTATCTGTAAAAAAATTATATATCTTTGTTTACAATTTTATTCAACACAGTAATGGTTTCATGTCAGGCACTTTTGATATTCATAACCTTATGGTTGAGGTTTGTACAATTCTTATTCCAGGATGTATTTGTTCTCCTGGTTGGGAAGGCACTAACTGCGATATTGACATAAATGAGTGTACACGGAGAACCAATGATTGTAAAGGTGATCAAATTGAGTGCGTTAACCTACCCGGAAGTTCTATTTGTAGATGTAAGACTGGATTTCAAAACGTCTCTGGACATTGTCAAGGTAAATCTTGATGTTTCCAATGAAGGTTTCGTATCATGTTAATTCTAATTGTCCACTTTTTCTAATGAAATTCAGGAAGAAATGTTATATTTGTTTTTTAGAAGTAAAAAGCTGTTTTAACGTGTGGGTGTGGCCAATATGTTATCGCGATGAACAAGTTATTTAAGGATTTTTTGTTCAAACGCTGTTAAGGTCAATCCGTTGTTTCCTACAGAAACAAGTTACACTCATTTTTAAGGCCTGAAAAAAAAACGGGAATAAGTTTACAATCATAAATCACTTGCAATCGATTTTAAATATATATTTATATAGACAACAGAAACGATTCATATCAGTAAAAAATTTTGTAATACCGATTCTATTAAGAAGGTTTTGCAACCACTGCTTACCAAGACAAACACAAGACGTTACTTTTAACGCATGTTTTTTGCATCTAATATTATTTGTTGCAGCCATTGCGAAAGGTTATTTCAGTGCATCTATTTTACAATGTGCATACCATTCTTGCTTTTAAACGTTATGTACGTACGTTAATTAGTTACCTTTTTATGATCCACAGCATTCATATTAACGATCTTATAGTCTTAAATCTCCGACGGTGATTTTTTGAAGACATTTATGTATGAGAAGTTAACCTTTTTAATGTTTTACATGAATGACCGAAGATATAATTGTAATATCGGAAAATTGTAACTATAATTCAATACCTGACTATTATAAAAAAAATCAGGTTGATGCAAAATATGAACTAATTGATAAAAAGTATATGAAATATGTGATTGATGAATGACATGATTATAAGTACTATTGGGAACGATTAAAAGAAAATATTTATTGAAAAAAAAATATAAAAAAATGGCATTGTTTTGTCAGTTGTTAACTACACTTATATAACCAGATGTGTAATTGATCAATTTCCTTTCTAGACATAGATGAATGTCAGAATAGCACCTTAAATACTTGCGATCAGAAGTGCATCAACAATAATGGCAGCTACTCATGTGCCTGCGAGACTGGCTTTGTATACCGTCATGAAAAATGTGAAGGTAAAACACGTACCATACAAATCTGATTTTGATTCATTGTTCCCTCCAAATCAATTACTTTCAGTTTTTGCAATCTTCAAATACTTTACAGTGTACGTGATGAAAAACGACATCTTAAACAGTGCAGACTGTATTTCAATTTAATGTTCATACGAAGAGGAGGTCGGTAACACACAAAGAACACTTAAAATGTTTACTATCGTATTGTAAATTCATGCATTTTTTTACTCATGAATTGTCATAGAACGAAATAGTTTGTTATATGAAAGTAAACCTTTCCTATCCTTTTTGGGGTCCTTCTTGGCTCCTCGCCGGAATTCCTCTATTGGGTGCAACCTTTCCTTGTGACATTTTTTTGTTGTTTTGTTAATTAGAACTCTCTTTACGATGAAATTGACAAAGATATGAAATCGGAAAATAGTTTCACTTTGTAGCGTGAGTAGGTGAGATAAAAGATATTACAGCAATTGGTTGTAAAACGAAACATTCGTTTTGAAACCATTTGGTAATCATATTCAGTTTTATAACATTATTTTATCAATAACTTTTATCAGAAGGGTGTAACATCATCAAACAATAAAAATGATTTTATGAGATATTTACAGCTGAAATTACATGATGCTTGTCATATCCAGTGTAAACTGTAATTTCAATTATATTGTTCAGCTTTAACTACCTGACATGTGTTCATCAAATTAAAGCTGGAATATTAAATATTGTATAACTGTAATAGTAATGTACATTTGTACAAATGTTAATATTTTATAGATATCAACGAATGTCTACAGGGTGATATATGTGACCAAACATGTGAAAATACCGTTGGAAGCTACAGGTGTATATGTGAACAAGGATTCAGCCTGGATCTGACGGATAGAAAGTCATGTATAGGTAATGGTACATGGCATCTCAACAGTGTAATATAGTACATGCATGAACATCATTATCAATTTTATAGACATACATTATAATAACTTTGTGTTTCAAACACATATATGGTGGTAAACACAGAAAATTAAAGCATAATTTGTAATTTTGAAGAATCTTAGAATAGATAAACTCATCACAGGAGAGTAGAAATCCTAAGACAAAATTAATGTCAAAATTTTAAGACAAACTTTATGCATATGAAAATGTCAACATTTCATGAAGTAAGACTCACCAAGCGTGATAGGTAAAACAAAATTAATAACATTGCAAACCTGTCTAAGGAACATTAGGATTTAACTTTAATAACATAACTGAAATTTGTAAAAAAAATCTTTTAATAAAAATTTGATTCCATCAAATTTAGATTATCAATAAATAGTACGGATTTGATATGGCATGACCAGTAAAAAACAATTAATTGAACTGTAATTTCCATGACGTTGTCTAAAATATTTCTGCAGTGAACAACAAATGTACAAATGAAACCAATACGTGTGGGGATCATGCAACGTGTTTTATTAAAAACGGCAAACCAGGATGTATCTGCAGCAAAGGTTTTGAGAAACATGGATCAACTTGTGAAGGTGAATATGATAACAGAAATAACTAGTAAGGTTTATTTGATATGTTAAACTAAATGTGAGAAGATGAACAATCTCTTATAAGAAAGTTGAATTTAGTACTTTTATGACCCTTTTCTTAGAATACATACTTTACGATGTACCAAATTTTATTTATTCTTTAAGAATATTTCATGATTTGCATTTTTAGATATTAACGAATGCGGACATTCAAATGGAATGTGTACTCAGATTTGCAACAACACTCTTGGTAGTCATATATGCAGTTGTAACGTTGGCTTCGTCTTGCTGGACAATGGAATAACATGCCAGGGTAGTTAACCTTAGATGAATATTATACAATATTACTTATCAAATATTTTGTAAAGCATCACATTTCATCTAAGGCATAGGTCATGATGTTACATAACATTCCAAAATACTATTAACCTAATACGTGTTAACACTGAATTGGACAATATGTCTTTTATTTCAATTGCTAATAGAATCGTGTGCGCTTTTTTTCAGCTTTGAGGGCTTATAATATTTTAATTAAATGTTCAAACCACCATTTTTGTGTGTGACGTAATTCAAAAGGCCAAATAAAAACACTCTACATTTTATAAAGGTATCGTCAGATGCCGAAGTACAACACTTTTGATAAATTTTTGAAATGCTTCAGAATGTCCAGCCGGGATGTTTGGAGAGGGATGTAAACACAAATGCTCTTGTATCACAACAAATACAAACAAATGTGATAACGTAGATGGAAAATGTATTTGTCATCAAGGCTGGGAAGGCAGATATTGTGAGAAAGACATAAATGAATGTACAAGTAACAGTGACAACTGTCCTGAAAACTCAAAATGTGAAAATAGTGTAGGGAGTTACAGATGCAAATGCAACTTTGGTTTCATAATGGACTACAAAGGAATATGCAAAGGTAATAACTGCTATTGTATTTTTATAAGCCACACCACGTTGACTTTTCGGAAGTACATATTAGCTTTTTTTCAAATTGAAAAATAGTATGGGTACATAATAATTTCTTGTGAAAAGTAAATAGGTGTTATTCTATATCCAAAAAAATATTTAAATACATTGAAGACAACATTTTCTTAAAATATTTTAGATCGTATTTTCGGTTAATCCAAAAAGAAACTCTACTGAAATCCAAAGGCCTAAATTTGAAGTTCTTACATATTTCAACCATAACATTTCAACATAGTCACGTTATATGCAGATTTAAAGATTATGATAAAATATACTCAAAATTAAATTGAAAATCTTTTTTTTTTTTTTTTGGTCTATACTTAACTTTACATTTAATTTAGCAAAAACGATTTAAACGATTTTCATTTCTTTGGAATTTTTTCACAATTAGATTAGTAATGTCAAAAAAAAACAGAGTAAGCGGATGATTAGAAAATTTCAACACAAATTATTGCTCTACATCTCTAAACAATATATTCCCGCCTTTTCAAATAAATCAGTGGATACCATTGATATTGTAACGTGATTTTTTTATTTCATTCCAATGTACGTGTTAAACTCTTTACTAAAAATTTTATCTATGAAAGTACCTCACATACCATTAGCCATACAGTAAGAGGGAAAACTAAAGACGTTTTCGTATCATTTGGCTGTATAACAAAAATAAATAAAAATATAATCAAATGTATATTTCTAGTAATTTTCACACACATCTTGACATCTTTCACACAGATATTAACGAATGTCAATCGAATCCTTGTACACTAGACGTCTGTGAAAATACTGCTGGAAGTTATAAGTGTAAATGTGAAACTGGTTTTACAAAAATAGAAAACAAATGTGCGCGTGAGTATTAAGCCTCTTTTGTTGGTATCGGACAAACCCATTTGAGTTAAAATTGGAAAATTATCTTGCAGTTATCTTTTAAATGGTGCTTGCTCATCATTGATTTCAACTTTCTATGGAATTGACGGGTTTGATGAGTAAATATAGATCAAGCTAGTATTAGGGGTGTTTCTTTAGCAAAGTCTTAGCAAGTCTTTGATTTCACAATGTTCACATGTATTCATTGCCGCAAAAGAAGTACCTTTTTCTAGAATTTTTATGTTCATGATTTTTATTGAATTGAAACATGCTATTTACAAATTAACATACTTATCTTTGTTATATATTATTACCCTGTCCCTTTTAAAAACATATAATATATTTTCTACTTGTAAGGTTGTACGAGCAATAAATTCGGTGTAAACTGCTCGCAAACCTGCCGTTGTAATGGGGAACATTCTTTGAATAAAATACAGACTTGTGACAGCGCCACTGGAAAATGTATGTGTCAGCCACATTGGCAAGGTGATACATGCAGTGACGACGTTGATGAATGTGAGGAGAAAGCGATATGTAAAGATAAAGATAATACTGTATGTACAAATTATAAAGGCGGATATTCTTGCAAATGCGAACATGGTTACAAAGAGTATCCAGGAACAGTGTGCATTAAAGGTTTATATGTCCATAAGATTTATTTTTAAGATATATTTAAGAAACGAAGCATTATTTTTCTTTCTTATATCAATGAAATATACAAACTTCCCACATTATGGTGTATATATAATTCATAGAAGCTAGATACAATGTATTAGATTTAAGAAAAAAATGATACAGAATCTGATAATATGTAACATTATGATCAGATCAGGGTGAACTATATTTTCGTCAGTTCAAAAAATAAAAACACAGTAATTTGAAAGACGAACAACTCATAGCTAAAATGCAATTACTTTAATAAATTATTACCTTTTATTATATTAAAACATATTTTGTTTGACACTATAGTGCAGTAAATAAGACCACTTTTAAATTCTTATGAAAATTAATTCACTTGTTGCGTTCAAAACCTGCTGGAAACACTTTCATTTTTTCCAACTTTGAATCCTTATAATAAAACAGTTTAAATACTGTCTGTCAACGTACAAATATGTCACTGCAAATTAATTAACAATATTGTATTCTTATTTAAAATTTGTTGCAAAATATTCGTACATTTATGAAAACGAAAAGAGATAAAAATGAAATGAAATAATTGAGATGTTTCGATTAAAAAAGGATCCCTAAATAACAAATGCGAAGCTTTCTCTGGTGAGCTAAGCAGGCAGGCGGGATTAAAAAAAGACAATTGCACTAAATGACAAAGAAGGTTTTTTAAAATGAAAATTTAAATAACCGACTTTAAATTGATATATATATGAAATAAAACAGTGAAATTTTGACAGTCTTTACTTCATAGATACAAATGGCTCTAAATGTATTTGTAGTACCATTCTTCATTGTCATGCAGATGTACATTTTATACTGAAATAAACCTATCAATGACTTCCAAAGCCATAATCACCTATCAGTATTATATTGTCTATTAAAATAAAACTGAAACTGTGAGAGAGAAATTCAAATAAATATTGTTTTCTTGTAGAATCGCCTATCATGATAGACCTCACAGTGAACATCAATGTAGATATTTCTGATAAAACAAACCGTAAAGAACTGCAACGAATTTCCACTGATAGTGTGAGTAAATATGTAATGTTCTAAAACAATAGATAGAAAGTTGTTGTTACTAATGTAATATTATATAATAAGTGTAATTTGTTGGTTTTTTTTCTAACTTATTTTGAAATATGTTGGGCAGCATTATCAGACTGTTTTGACCAGTTTACTTGTAAAAACGTATCCTTTCCCTTATACTGTATTTTAAAGCTGCACGCCTCAAGATGAGCCAAAAATATTCAAGAAATTCAATCTTTAGAAAAATGCACTAAGAGCTTAAGAAAAGTAATCAAATTCAATAATTAATTAATTATTTAAATGTTATGTGCGATTAATGACTTATTTTGCAGTATCAATTACTATAATTCTACTGCGTTAATAACACAGTAAGGGGTATTTATGTATATTTTGACCTTTTTTGTAACTTACATGCCATTGATGATGTGTAAATTACTTTCTTTTTCACTTCACAGTATATCAATTTTAAATACATTTTCAAAATTTTCATGAAAAAGTACATGAATCTGGAGGCATGCTGCTTTAATGAATCTGTAACGTAACATATATTGTGGTCAATTTACTGATGCCTTTGTATGTGCAGAGAGTGCTTGTGTCTTGAACACTTCATTCTTTTATTGTCTACTTAGACTGTTATATATTAGTTAATGAATAACAAATTATATTCTTGCTGTTTTTGTTAAGTCCTTGATTTTTAGGTGATATAATTTAGGATTATGACTAAATTAAGAATGGCAATTCCGCAATTCTGCTGTTTATGTTATCTTTCTTAGTTTATCTTCTCGTTTAAGAGAGCACATAAATAAATGAATATAATGTTGGTTTGTTTTCCGTTTTATTTTAGCTAAGAGATTTTTATCGTCAGTATACAAAGGCTGACATTGAGATCTTGATCAGAAATATAACGTTTGCCAGGTAAGTTTGTTAATTTCAGATGGATTGAAAAATTTATTTCTGTAATCCGTTTTTATGCAATAACTTGGAAAACCATATCCAGTGCATGATTAAACAATTAAACATGTATAAAAACTACAATTACATCAATGTTATCATACTAAAGATATCATAGACAGGTTCGAAATAATTTATTTTTATTGTTTCTCTAAGGTAATGAGGGTACTAACAATGAGAAGCGTGTACTGGAGAACACATTCCCAGTAGGAAAAAACTATTTGTTTAAATAAAAGAAATAATTAAAAGAAATGACTACACATTAAGAACAAATTACCTGACAAAATAAAGTAATACAACATTGTTTTGCTCCTGATAGAAGAGGGAAGTTACTTCCACAGGTCACAGCTAATCTTATGCCAATGATTTTGCACAAAAACCTTTGACCCCACATTCATTTCACCTAGTTATTTATGAATAAATAGGGAACAAAGATTTCATCAATATATTGTTCAGTAGGTAATTTGTACCATTTTTCTTACCGATTTTAAACCCTTAAGTGATGCATCACTAATATGTGACCTATGGGCAAGATTCAATTCGAACCATATTGATTCATTCTGTAAGACAATGAAACAAAAAATTTAACATGAATAATTAAAATGACACAGAATCAAACGTTTCTGATGTAATGTGAAATATTCTAGTTTATTGTGTCGGGCGTCTACTTTCGGCCTTTTAAGAAACAGAATTTTT